GCCCTGGGGGCCCTAGCCGAGGAGGAGTCCTTAAGGCAGGGGAATGATTGCATAACTTGGGTACGGCCTCCACTCAGTAATAGCTGAATAATACTCATAGTATAGATATATTAGGACCTTCCCAGAGACTCCAATATCCCTTAGTTAAGCAATATACCTTCAAATATAATAGGATCCTTAATATGATTTAAGGTATATTCCTTAATTAAGGGAGATTGGAGTCTCTGGGTTAATAGTAGCCCTATTATAGACTCTTACTGTATGGGGGCAGTACCTACTGCATAGCCAGGTCCGGCTCAGAACTCGCTCTCCAAAGCCTTACGTAGCTCACTGTCTGAACCGCTATAGAGGCCTCAGAGGCGACAGTTTAGGGTTTGGGGTTTTACCCAGCCCGGACTTTGTGCATGCCGTTTGAGTCGACCCTGCCTTTTGTCTCAAGCCTTACCCCTAAACCCTATACCCATAAGGAATATACCTCAAATTACAGCAGGATCCCTAATATATTCCTTAATTAATGGACATTGGAGTCTCTGGGTATCCTGCACACCAAGCAAGCACCTTGCTTACGGACGACCCACAAAGCCTAGCGAGCTCGCGACGTGGGTGGAGGTCCCTAGTGTTGAAGAGACATCCTCGAAGCTTACATTCCGAAACCCTTTTGGCTTGAGCATAACATAGCCTTATAGGATATAGGGTTTAGGGTTTAGGGTTTAGGGTTTTGACTTTAGGGTTTTGGGTTTCGGGTTTAAGGCTTAGGGTTTATGGTCTTCGTTTTAGGGTTTTTGTTTATTGGTTTGGCCCCAGCTTGGCGAACTCCATGGTCTAAGCAACTTCTGTACAAGGGACGTCTGCGAAAACAGCCACGAGCTGCCACCAAAAGCCCTAACCGTAAACCCCACACCCTCGCCAAACCCTGAATCCCCAACCCGCGGTCTAAATTCCAACACCAAACCATAAGCAAAGCCCTAAACCGAAGACCTTAAACCCAAAACCCTAAGCCCTAAGCCCTCAACCCGAAACCCAACACCCAAAACCCCAAAATCCTACTACCCAAAAACAAAAACTCTACACCCCAAACCCTAAACCCTCGAGGGAAGCTTTGAAGCTGTTGCCCTGCCAGGTCGCAGCTCCCTTGTTATCATTATAGTACAAAAGGCTCCAGAACCGCATTCTGATTATTAAGGCCCCCTAAACCCTAAACCCCTAAACCCCTAAACCCCTACACCCTGTACTAGGATGCCCAGTAGTACCCTTATTCCCTTTTTCTAGTCCTAGGTTCCTTATAAAGTTACCCAATACCAAAAAGAGAGGCCTTTTTATTCCTAGGTTACTGGGTATCCTAGTATGCCTACTGTATACCCATAGTCTGAATAGTAGTTCCTTTCTGGGATTACCTTATAGGATTCTAAACATTCTTAGGTTACTGGGTATCCTAGTAAACCCATGATGCCCTTTGAGGCCCCAGCTCCGGGAGGCCGGGGTCCCGGGCGCCCTGAGCGAGGCGCTCGGAAGGCCCCGGGGCGCGTCGCCCCAGGCCGGCACAGCTTGATCGGGGCTCAGGGCTGTAATAGAGGGGCCTTAATTTTTTAGAATAAGGTTCCTTTAGAGGGTTACTATAAGGGTACCATAATATGGGGGCATTATAATGATTAGGCTAGGGCTTTAGGGGCCCATTCTCAACTAGAATCAAAATAAGGAACCCCCCAAAATAGTATAGGCTATGATTAAGGCCCCTTTTGAAGGGCGTAGGGTTCATGTTTTGTTTCAGAATTTCGGGGTCCAGGGATTTAGATGGTTTCACTAGGGTTCAGGGAATCAGCCGAAGGCTTTCTGGTAGCAAGTTTGCTCCGGCCTCGCTTGTGGAGCCCTCTGCTTTTGGATGGTTTTGAAGGGGCAGTTGACTTGGGGGGTTTAGGGCTTTAGGGGTTGAGGGGTTCAAGGGTTCAGGGTTTAGGGGTTTAGGGGTTTAGGGTTTAGGGTTTAGGGTAGTCTTTGGTTAGTAGGGAATGGAGGAATGGGCTACAAGTATACTTACTATTACTACCATTCTTCCATTCCCTACTAACCAAAGGTAAGTTGAATGAGGAAGCAGGCTTCGGGCAGTTTGCAATATTGAAAGGGTTCCTGGGCGACAGGGGCTGTTGATATCAGGATTCTGAAATGTTGCATCCCAAACCCGAAACCCCGTCCCAGGGCACCACTCCCTAACCCTAAACCCTAAACCCTAAACCCTTCAGACGCCAGGACCTGCATTGCTGCGAAGCGCTGGCGCAAGCGCTCCGGGTCCTGCCGGACGTCGACGCAGGAGTAGCATTACTATCGTATGTGAATAGCATTATTGTCTCTCTTTTATATGATTTTGCAGCATTCTCTTGCATTTTGTCGTATTTGCATAGCTTCTTCGGATGTTGATAGTATTCTGATGGTATTATTATAGTAGTCATGATTGATAGTACTTTGTGGGAGGACTCCGGTCTCGGCTGTGTCTCTGAACCCCGAGCCCAAAGCAAAGAAGCCTCCGGGAAATGATCCGGGTGTAGGGTTTATGTTTTAGGGTGAATATTTAGGGTTTAGTAATTTCGGGGTTCCTGGGTTTTAGCGTGGTTAGGGTTTAGGGGTTCAGGGTTTAGGGTTTCGATGTTGGTGAGACTCTGATCTTCATCATGCAAAAACCATGTCAATATGTAGGGATGGTGGCAAGGGTTGCGGCGAATGCCAGAAGCTTCTGGGTGCAAGTGGTCCGGAACGTGTGGCTTTTGTAACCTCCCCGAATATGCTCTTTGTTCTGTAATGAAGCAGTCGACGCGACGTCCAGCAACCTGAAGCCTTAAAGCCGCACACCCTAAATCGCAAAGCCCAGAATTCTACAGGCTAAGCCCTAAACTCTAAACCTTGGGGTTTGTTTGGGTTTTGAACCGGTACTTGTTACATCAACCTTGACCCTAGAGACAGCACAGAGAGTTTCATAGAGCGTCACAGTATCCGTTTTCGTCCCAATGCAAGTCTATCAAAGCAAGGATCCAGTGTAAAACCCGAAAGAACCTCTTACAACACCAAACAAAACCCTCAAAGAAGACGTGCTCTACTTCTTAAGGCCCCTCTGTAACCAAACCACATCAAACCCTTTGTGACCCCCTCTAGAACCCTTGCACTGTTCCCCTTTCTTGCACCATGTAAAGAACCCTAAAGCCCCAACCGTAAACCCTAAACCCTAAACCCTAAACCCTCAACCCTAAACCCTAAACCCTAAACCGGATTCTCGAATCCTCCTTGCAGGAGATTCCTCGAAAGCCTCGAAGGTCGGTTGACGGCCTCGAGGAGTGAGGGGGTGACACGGGTTCAGGGGTTTAGGGTTTTGGGGTTCAGGGTTTCACAGAACGGGCTTGGGTTTTCGATGTCTTTTAATCTTACTTTGGGATCGGAGACCTGTGCAGGCCCTTCAACGCTCTAGCCTGCGCCGGCCCTTCAACGCTCTAGCCTGCGCCGTGCGCAACGTATCCCACGGCGGAAACTGAAATGTGTTTTTGTGGCTTTCTTTCGCCGTTGGGTGCTAAGACCCTGGAACATTGCAGGCAAACATGAGCGGCCGCGCAACGGCAATTGCCTTACAGACCAAGAAGGACCAGCACTTCGAAGCGGCCTTGGTCTTCACGGTCCTAGCTCATGCCGTGGCTGGGTGTAAAATGTTTTAGAAACAACATGCGATACTATTTGTGCGGCAGGACTTTAGCCAATGCCCTTGGTGTTGGGGAGTTGTCCAGGTGATGGATGCCCACAAGCGCTACAGATGCGAGGACTTCATCGACAACGCGGAGTACTTTCTCAAGGCCTTGCGTGTGTCCGAGAAGGTGCAGGTCGCCGCCGTGCAAGCCGTGCCACGCTAAGCTTGAAATTTTCGTGCGCATGCCTAAGCTTCAAACAAAAAGTGCTGGCAGCAGCATACAGTTAAGGCTGAGCAGATGTTTTTCGGCTTCAACGTCGGCGGCATCATCACCAATCAACAGCAGGCCGAACAGGTGCTTGCTGCCAGGTTGCACAAATCATGTCTGTTGCCATGTCCTTTTAGTAGCCGAGTAGCACTTGGCCAGTGTCTTCCAAGGAAGAACTCTGCAAGGGCACCACATTCGGCATGGTCTGGTTCCGTGGCCAGACCATCACTCTCGGGGCGGCCGCAGCGGACCACGTCCTGCGCATCTTGGATGCTCCGCGGCCGAGGCCAATCTAAGTTTTCCGCGTCTTTTGAACTTAACTACATGCAGTCTCGGCTTCAGCAGCTGCAGGGCTGGCCCCCACTGCATGCTGGATGAGCTCGCCTATTTGCTCCTGGCGAAGTCCAACATGCCTTTTGAGAAGTGGGTTGGACACGAGCAAGATTTGAAGGCTGTGCGGGCCTCAGGTTCTCCTGGAAAGTTGAATGTGGTCTGCGCTTGCGCGTGGCAGTGCGTGTGGTTCAGCCGAGGCCCTGGAGTGCAAGAAGCGGCGCCTCGCAAGCGACACAATTACGTCGCTGCGAAGGACTGCCCACCCTACGTGCTCGATCATGTCTCTCTGCGCATGCTGGTGCCGAATTCAGGAAGCCCTTCTACTGAGAGCATTTTTGAACCGGTTCACGATCCGCTGCTCGTGATGGAATGGAAAGGTTTCTTCCGACTGAATCGCTTGCACTCTCAGGCATGTACTGCTGCAGCCTTGTGCCTTTGCAGTGTTTTCTGAACCGTTTTGCCAGTGTTTTTGCTGCTTCGTTTCGCGCAGCGTCAGTAGTGCCATCGGCTCAGCTGGGATGTCTGGTTCAGCGGGGAGGGCCGGGATCCCTCCCGTGTTCTTCCGGAGGCTGGGCTCAGTCTCGCATTCGTCGGGGGGCAAATACAGCGAGCCTGGCGCCTGATTCCAGGTAGTCATTGAAGGGCACGGAAAGGCCAGCCCAATGAGAAGAAACAAGACTGTCACAGATCACTGGCGTTTCCCAATTGCAGACAGGTCCTCGGGGCTTTGCGCGGCCACTGGTGTTCGCAGCACTTAGACGGACGAATCGGGCACTCTGGAGCCAGGTCGCATTTACCCGCGAGTCGGTCCTTCAGGCAGGCCCTCGATGGTAAGGATGACGACAAGTGGCCTCCGGTGCTCAGGTCAGTATTCAGGTGGCCTGGACCCCGAGGCTTTCCCGGAGTGCCGTCTCCGGTGTTTTGCTTTTGAAACTTCGCCTGGTCAGGATCCCTGCGCTTCTACTGTACTTGAACCACCAAGGCCCTAAGCACTACAAACCTGAATGCCCCAACTTTGCCGACCTTCCCCAGAGACTCGGATATCCCTTAACTAAGGAATATACCATAAATTATAGTAGGTTCCCTAATATGATATAAGGTATACTCCTTAATTCAGGGATATTGGCGTCTCTGGGCCCAAAGCCCCAAAGTCACAAGCTCTGCTGCGAGGAGCTCCGGGACGTGCACCCGGCAGAGGCCACGGACCCATCCAAGAGCGAAGGATGACCGCACAAGGAGGGAGGCTTGGAAATGGGAGTTTCCGAAGATTAGGGGTACCGTATTTTGGGGTCCTTATACTCAGGATCCTACTATTTAGAGCACAAGGACCCAGACACTCCAATATCCCTTGATTCAGGAGTATACCTTAAATCGTATTAGGGATCCTACTATACTTTAAGGGGTAAATTCCTTAATTCAGGGATCCTGGAGTCTCTGGGGAAGGAGGCTTGGAAATGGGGGCTTAGGGGTTCAGGTATTGGCCTAACTATGAAGATGAGCTGTTATTCATGCATCTATCAAAGGGGAAAAGGAGGGACCTTTAGTAAGGACCCCTAGGTATATACCCATTATATAGCCCATTATAGGGTAGGGGTCCCCATAAAGGGTCCCTCTTTTTCCCTTGAGTCTACTTTGCCAGGAGAAACCTCATCAACGCAGCCCGATCTCGCATCCAGGGACTTTCAGCTCACACGTTGCACGTCGTCACTCTTCCCCAGGAGCCCAACTTCCCAGAGACTCCAATACCCCTGAATTAAGGAATATACCTTAAATAATATGAAGGATCCTACTGTAACTTAAGGTATATTCCTTAATTAAGGGATATTGGAGTCTCTGGGGACCTCCCCTGCAGCTCCAGTGACCCACTGGGTCGCATCGAAGCGGCGGACGGCGGGGACGCGGAGCTCGACGTCAGAGCTGACGGAGCTGGCCGTTTTCTGCTGCCGAGGCGAGAAAGGTTGGAACTCCTAATAAGGAAACCCGAGAGCCCCAGACCCTAAACCGCCAAACCTCAAATCCTTAGCCTGTGAAGCTTTGAACCTCCAAATCTCCCCAAGCCCCTGAACATCAGCTCATAAATAATAAGAGTGCCTTTCCCTGAAGGCTCCTGCAGCATCGAGAAGGAGCGACTTGTGATTGCGAGACCTGGGAGAAAAGGAGTAGCCAACTCTGGAATTTGGGGTTCAGAGGTCTGCAGGGTTTAGTTCATGTAGCAACAGCAGTGATAAGCTACAGCTTTGGTGCTGGTGGTAATTAGTGGTGGTGGTTTCAGTTGAAGCTGTAGTTGCAGCTTGTATATTTGTAGTATAGCAAAGGTGGCAGCAAGAATCAGAGTAATGATGGCAGAAAGCCATATGTGCTCGCGCCGGTTAGCGATGCCGAAGTAGGGGAAGCCAATCGGTCAGAATGGGTTCAGTTTTGGACGGTAGTCTGTACTGTTTTTGCAATGGGACTTCAACGGAATGGCATGAAGAAGAAGAAGAAGCAAGGCGCAACCGTGCGCCATGATTTCATCTCCAGCTTGTCCATGGAATCCCACGTCCGAAAGTGCCAAGTCCAAGTCCAAGTAGCATCCTAAGCCTTAAATCCCAGGCCCCAAGCCCTAAACCCCAAACCTTACATCCGAAAATCTGGATCCTAATCCTTAAACCTAAACCTCAATACCGCTCTTGGCTCTTGACCCTGCGAAGCTGCTTTGCACGAACACATAACTGATTCCACCAGATTTCCCAGATATTCCGTGATTCCAACCCTAAACCCTAAACCCTAAACCCTGAACCCTGAACCCCAAACCCTAAACCTTGATTAAACCCTCTTTGGGAACCTTAGCTGCCCCACAAGCTTCCACGCGCTGCGATGCTCCCTCAATGCTCTGCTCCTGGCGCTGGCTCCTTGCCTTCCGGCTGCTCAACGCCTGGCTGCTGCGGACGTCCTTCACGCCGGACTTTGGGGTTTGGGGTTAAGGGGGTAGGGTCGGGTGTTTGGTTTAAGGGTAGTTTAGGGTTTAGGGTAGTTTAGGGGTTTGGGGTTCAGTGGGTCAGGTAGCAATTGGGGCTGGCGGGTGGCCTCAGGCATAAGAGAAAGTCATCGCTTGTCTGGGTGCGGTGTCAGTATAAGTATTGCTATGCATGCAGTGCGAAAGCTTCGCATTAGCCACGACCTAAAGCCTCGTGTGGAGTTTTGAATCCCAATGAGAGACATAAGACTCCCAAGTACTCAAGCGCAAGACCATCTTAGCAGTATCTTGAGCCTTAACTGTTGGTAGATCTCTAGAAGTTACCTTAAATCCTAAACCCTAAACCCTAAATTCTAAACCCTACACCCTAAACCTAGAAGTCTAGGATGCAGCAAACTGTCGCCCCCTGGAAAAGGAGTTTTTATAAAAAAAAAGAGAAACCCAGAAGTCGACTCGCAGCCCATCGAGGACGAGTACTGGCAGGGGCCGGAGGTCGCGCACGCCTGGGTCTACGGCTACGGTTGCTTTGTCCTGATATAGCTATTATATACCCATTATATAGCCCACCATACGGTAGGGGTCCCCATTAAGGGTCCCTCCTTTTCCCCTTTGGGTTTCGGCTGTCGGACTCAAAGTTGAGTGTTGCCATAAACTGTATCCCCGACACCCTAATCCAAACCCGAAACCTAAAGCCTACCTGAACTTACCAAACTCTGCTTTTTTTGTAGGTTCTTAATATAACCCGAATATGGAGTTTATAAGGACCCTACAAAAAAGTAGGTTCTTGTAGGTTAAGGTAAACTCCAAACCTCAGACCCTCAACCGCAAAGCCAAACCTTAGATCGTGGCGGGAATGCCAGAAAATGTTCCTGGACCGGAGCCCTCGCTTGTACACTTAGAGAGCTTGGCTTTGTTCAAGCTTTTAGGGTTCTTTATAGCTTTTCTGGGGCTTCCGTTCTAGGGTTCTCGAATATCTAAAGGTTCAAAGGCGGCTTAAACCCTAAACCGTAAACCCCGAAACCCTAAACCCCTAAACCCCTGAACCCATAAACCCCTAAACCCCTAAACCCCCAAAACCTAAACCCTACGGGTTCTAAGGGTTTAAGTTTCCCAGACCAGGCCACCTCACATGGGAGTGGCAGCCCTGTGTGGCACTCCGCGGCGTGCTGCACCCAGGACTTCGGTGTGCGCGTCCCGATAGTAATAACAATCAGAACAATAATCATGATGACAGTCATCATGGTACCCCAAACCCTAAACCCTGAACCCTAAACCCTCCTACTAATCATCGTACTGGTATGTCGGGCTCTCTGGACACTGGATTTGACCCTGACGAGTTCCTTGACAGCGTTCAGTTGTCTTCCGATGAAAGGGAGGCGGTAGCCCAACACTTGGCGGAACCTACTGCCCTCGCCAGGGGTGGCGCCCCCCCCTGGCTGGAGGCCCTTACCTGCAGCTTGCAGGAAGGTAACTTCTTCTTTTTGAAGGGGGACACTACGGTGATTGCCACCGCCAAGGGCTCGCGTCCAGGGTCATCTTGGGCCGACCTCATCTTCGCTGCCCTTATTAAGCGCATCCTTTTTAGGTGTGATCAGCTCCGCGAAGCATGTCATCAAGTCTCCCAGACGCCATCCTTTCCGTGGGATGGCAGTCGCTCTTTCCAAGCCTGTGATGCTGGTTCAGACCACATCCAGATTTCGGAAGTGGTGTGGGCGGATGATATAGCCATCCCGAGGCTCACTACGCCCCACCTCGCGTCGTGCGCCATGGGTGTTGAGGCCAGCTGCTTGTCCGAAGCCCTGCGTGAGTTTGGCTTTACCCTGTCGTTTGCACCCAGCAAGACTGCAGCGGTCTTGACTCTTTCCGGCCCTGGCAGCCGACGGGCCAAGCAGGCTGTTTTCGGTCCTTCAGGTCTCCGCGGCCATGTACCTGTTGTGGTTGAATCAGGATCCGGTGTTCTCTTACCAGTGGTCGCCTCTTACAGACACCTTGGCTGCCAGCAGATTCCCGGTGGAGGTCTCCGGGCCGAAGTCGCTTATCGCATCACGCAAGCGCGTGCTGCCTTTGCCGAAGGCCGTCGCAAAGTGTACAGGAACCCTGCCATCAGTCTCAGCCGTAAAGCGTTCATCCTTCGGTCTGCTGTTCTTCCCAAGCTTTACTTCGGTGCGGGCTCCTGGGGCCCGCTCAACATTGACGAACGGCGGTCCATCTCCGGGGCCCTCTGGAGCTTTTACCGTAGCTTGCTTGGTATCGGCAAGATGGATGATCAGCGTATGGACGCCCATACGTGCTTTGCGCTTCTGCGCCTTCCTAGCCCCAGCACGGCCCTTCGATTCCAACGCCTCTTGTACGTCTCGCAGCTGCTTGCTGCACCACCTGAGCTATGGGCTTGCCTCCGGGCTGACCGAGACCATGCGGAGCTGTTGCTTGCAGACCTACGTGGTTGCACTCGTACACTTGGCGCACAACCGGGCTGCCCTGCCCTCGTCAGGACTGGGGCAGTTGGAGTAGTTTCATATCCCAAGCTCCAGGCAAGTATAAAGGGGCGGTCAAAAGAGCTCAGGCCCTTGATATTCACAGACATGTGGTCATAGCATCGCTCTCAGGGCTTCACCGTGCCCTCCTCCTGATGTGTGGCCCAGGCTCCGAGCCCTCTGACCCTCCTCCACGACGCCCTCATTACAGTGAGGTCTGCATCACGTGCAGACGTGCCTTTTCAAGCCGCCTTGCCTGGGCGGGGCACTGGTATCGGTCTCACGCCCACCTGTGTGCTACCGGTACCACCTGCTGTGCGTGCGGACGCTGCTACTCCAACCTAGGCAGACTACGCCGTCACTTAGTCTCTAGCCCACAATGCGTTCTGAACTGGGGCCGGTTTGTCCCTGACGACTCCAAGGGGCCTCCTCCGCACCCCTTGGCATACCCTGAGGTAGCACCGGGATGCTTCCAGAATGAGTTTGAGCCCACCATCCGTCTAGATGTTGCTGCCGGGCTCCTCTCTGCCCTGGATGCTGTTCCTCCGGAAGACGAAGAGACGGTTTGGGCCACCGTCACCTCTTTTGTGGAGCCTCTTGAGACCCTTAGAGCCACGGTTTCGGCTTGGAAAGATGCAGTGCCGTGCTGCCGGCCAAGTCTTCTACGGCTGATAACGTGTTGCTTTTACTTGATGTAGATCTCCTTGCTGACACGTACCAGATGTGCAAACCTGCACGTGCCTTCCCACAGGATGACGTCCCGGCTTGGACTCGGCCTGGACGTATGGCATTCGCCCTGAGTGGCGTGCCTTCTACCTTCCGGGTCGAACCGCCGCCTCCCCATGTCCTCCAGCATGACGTGCCCACCAGTTTGTGTTTGAAGGATGCGGCAGCTTACAGTACCTGGTTGGAGGCGACCTGCGGAGTTATTGCACAATGCGTCACTGCTGCTGTCAGCAGCCCTTGCTTCTTTGTCTGCCCAGGAGTCTGTAAGGCCCTCGGTCCGGCTCGGGAATGGCTCTGTGCTACGGGCTTTGAGGAAACAGACTTCGGCTTTCGCACCCCGTGCGATTGATGTTTCACCAGAATTTATATGCATAGGCGAGCGCTCGAACCGAGCTCTACCGCAGCGAATGGAAAAATCTCTGGACACTTGAACCCCACGGGGCCCCTCATGGGGCCTCATAGCCTCGGGACCTCATACTTGGAAGGGCAGGGGACTTAGTAAGTAGGTTATCAGTAGAGTTATAAGTACCCTAAATGGAGTTACCCCAATTATAACCTTACTTATTTCCTACTTACTAAGTCCCCTGCCCTTCCAAGTAGGACTCTTCGCGCTGCTGTTTCTCTTGATCGACTCGCCGGCGCTCGTAGCCTACGGGCCTCGCATGCTTCAGGCATCGACTCCTGGGGGGGCCGGGGGCTTAGGATTCGCAAGGAGAAAGTATTTAGGATTTAGGGTAGGGGGGCTTTGGGGATATTTTGTTGGGAAAGTCTCGTCGGCTTCAGTGTGCTTGAAATTCCAAATCCCCAGCCATGGTAAAAGTGTGGGGGTTCAAAAAGATGACCACTAAGATTTTGATTGGGTTTGTACACATGTGATGTTCTGCGGGCCTCTTGGGCCTTTAAGTTTGTGCAACAAGAACCTGCGAGCTTGGCGATGTGACTGTTTAGGACTTCTTGCCCGTGCCACTGTGCACTGACATCCAGAATCCAAAGCTAGTCCCATATCGTTCTCAGACTCCCCAAATGCACTAGCAGACACTATATAGAACCTAAGAAATACTTAGGCAAAGGGTTTGCCGCGAACCATATACGGTTATAGTATGAAGGAACCCTAGGGTACACTATGCTGACTATTAAGGCCCCGATGTCACAAATGTTTCGCGTCTTTCCGACCTTTCAGTGGCAGGGTGTCATCGCTTCCTTTGGCGATGCAGTGGCTATGGTCGCAGTTAGATTTTTGTGAATTCTTGGCAGCTCTTTAGGATGAGAGTTTAGGGTTTTAAGGTTTAGGGTTTGGGGACCTGACATCGTGGCAGCGGGCCTGCGATCCCCCACACCGGCCTGACAACCCACATCTCAACCTTGTCGGGTTTAGGGTTGAGGGCTTCTCTTCAATCTTACTTTCTGGCGTTTTGCTTTGTTTTTCTGGATTTGAGCTGTGGGTGGTGGGCTTTTAGGTCCGCTTGGCAATGGGCATGTCTCTAACTCTAGCATGTCGTCGAGCTTGATGACCTCTTGGCTCCAGGTGCGGGCTCTTGCTAGATATGTGGGTTCCGGCTGGATTTGGCTTGCGGCGGAATCGTTTTTCTATCCTCTTGGGATCTGCCTTTTGCGCTCTGGGCACTTGGATGAGCGTTCTGGGGTTTTGGTGTCGGCTGACAATAGGCGTTGCTTTGGACTTGACCGGTGGTAGGGGTTGGGGAGGCGGCGGAGCTGGAAGACCTCTGAAGATTTTTTTATGGGTTCTAGCTAGATGTGGCTTGCGGCGGACCTGTTGGGTGAGCTGCCAAAGCAATGTCGTGAGTGCTGGATGGTTGATGAAACAATCACAGTGAGCATGTGGCTGGACAGTTGTCCGGGGCGAGGCTCTGGGCATGGAGCCCTCGCTAGAAAGGGTTGGCAAGGAAGATCGTGGTGGTGCGGAGCGAGGATTTGGTGTAATGTAGCAGCAGCCGGCTGGCGCAGGTGCCGCTGCCTGTGTGCAGGCCATCCTCACCGGAACCTGGCCCTCACCTTCGTCAGGCAGAAACTGGCTCCTCGGGCTCGTCCACGGGCGTGCCTCGTATCGCTCGCCGCTACTTGGAGGTTCAGGGGTAGTTATAAGTGGGGTTATAAGTCTCCTAATATGGGTTGTAAGTTGTAAGTATAGTTACCCTACTTATAACCCTACTTATAAGTGCCCATGAACCTCCAAGTAGCATCCACAGCGCCCGCCATTAGGGTTTAGAGTTCTGGCTGATGAGTTTAGGGTCAGTTCACGAGGTCAATATGGGAGCTTCCAAAAATAGGGGGCCCCTAATACAGTACCCTAAATAGTAGGATCCTTATTATCAGGACTCCCAAAATAAGGCACCCCGAATTTTTCGGAAAGTCCCATATTCGGGTTTCAAAGCCGAAGTTGGCTTGGGAGCTGAGGCTGTCTGCCGGTCTGCAGAAAGGCCCTTGGGCATCAGCCGTCTGGGGTAGTCTAAAGGGGTGGTTGTCAAAATTATGGTCCCTTTTTGGGTACCCTAAATATTAGGTGCCGTATTATGTTAAGGACCCAAAAAAGCCACCATCATTCTGAGAACCACCCAAAGGTCGAAGCAGCTTCGGCAGGGTGTTGGGGTGTGATATACCATCGTTATAGTAAGGAGCCCTTAGAGCAGTATTGCCCAGTTATCCAGGCGTTTCTTGTGCCGTGCTATCACGTTCTGGAAGTTCTAGCCGCCCGAGCTAGGGTTGATGATAGAAATCCTGCATTACCGTAAAGACCCTAAACTATGCGAAGTATGGTACATTCCTTATTTTGGGTCATGCAGGATTTATATCATCAACCGTAGAGCCTCATAGTCTAGTGTTGGTTGGTGGTTGAACGCGTCGGGGCGATGTTTGCCGTCCCTGGCGGAACCATCCTTGGCGAGTCTTGACGTGTGTTTTCGAGATCTGATATGCTTCCACAGGCAGGGCCCAGACGCGACCTGCGACTGAAAGGTGTCATTGCGCTTTCAATCAAGAGCCCCGTAAATCCAAAACACGACACCCTCAAGCTTCAGCCCCAGCCCCAGCCCCTAAACCCTAAACCCTAGACCCTAAACCCTAAATTCCCACCCAGGCCTGCTTAGGCCGTACCCACCCTTTTTCTTAGGGTGCCTGGACCCAGAACGAAATCCGGCAGTATTGACACCAACTCTGGATGGACAATGAATGGGTGGAGCCATTGGAGAGTGGTCGAATTCAGCCCCTAGGGCTGAGCCAAGCCATTAGGCCCCGTGGTGCCCATATTCGCAGAGGGAATACCCTAAACCCGACCACCAAAGTCCTGTGGTCATTTCCATTTGGCTCCCTTCAGAAAAGGCCCCAGACGCGGGACACCTAGCGTCTTTTCTGTTTTCTGGCTTCTGGCCCTCCTGGCGCCCCCCCCCGGCCCTGATGCCCCCTGTCCCCCCCTGGCCTCCTAGCCCCCCTGACCCCTGGCCCCCCTAGCCCCCGCCTGGCCCTGGCCACCTGCCCTGCCCTTGCTTTGGCGAAGCTGGTTCGGGCAAGCCAGGGTCGAGGTGGGGGCGTAAGCCCTAAACCCTAAAAGGCAAAAATTTGGGTGGTAGCCTGTGTGATCTCACAGCGGGTGGGAAAGATTCAATAACCAATTTGTAATTGCTTGGTGGTGGAATCGCATTCGAACGCTCGACGTAGATATGCCGCCCCCTCACACCCCTGGGAGTGTTGGGGCGCCATCCTAAATAGAAAATACTGCCGCTGCGCGGCGAGACGCCCTAAACCGTAAACCCTAGACGCTAAACCCTAAACCCCAAAAGCCCTAAGTTAACCTAAGACCTAAAAAGTGCGCCGCCAAATTTGGGACAGGCTCGGGGGCCCCTCAGCTGCCTGGTGGACCATGGCAGTGCATCTAGGCCTGGGCGCGCCGCGGTCTAGGGTTTAGGGTTTAGGGTTTAGGGTTTAAGGTTTAGGGTGTAGGGTTGCTTTCAGGATTCAACTTCAGGGGTCCATGCACATCACTACAAGGGTGACCATAGGGGACGAGAATATAGCGTACGTAGCAGGGCTTTGGGTTCACAGTGTCGTTGTTTTGGGGTTGAGGCACTCAGGGTTCACAAGCTTCCGAAGGTTTTGGATTCAGGATTTGGGCTTCGGAGGCTTTTCGGGTTTGAGCTGTGGGTTACATCCTGCAAGGTGGGCATTTCAAGTTTTCCGTCCGGAGCGACGAAGTCGTTTCAGTTTCCAGTTCTATGCACATCGCAGCCGTGGGGAGACGAGGGCGAGGTAGCTCGACAGTCGCTTTGCGTAGTCTTACGTCTAAGCAGGGGTTTCATTTCCTCGCTCGTGTTTGTCCTTGTTAGGATGATGAGGAATGCACGCTTGCTTGACGAACTCCACTGAACTCCATGCATCAGTGTGACTTTACAGCAGCCTTGCCGGAGGTAGTTGGTTCCAGCTCTACTGCTTGCCAAGGACAGGCAACACGCAGGGAGGATGTGGGAGTTTCAGAAACCAGGGGTGCCCTAATCTCGCCTCCAAAATGTTACGGCCTTTATAGTCAGGATCACCGAATCAAGGCACCTTTGTAATCTGAAAGTTCATGCAACCTGAGAGGCTTCTTGGAAAATCGGAAAAGCTACCATAAATCCCGGAGCCCTCTGAACCTTAAAGACCCTAAACCCCTGAAAACCCTGAACCCTGAGATGTAAGCCCTAAAGCCGTCGATGGACGGTCTCCAAACCCAGAAAGCCCTCTGAAAGCCACGTCCTTCGAGACGGCCTGAAACCCTAAACCCTAAACCCTAAAAACTCTAAACCCTAGACCCTAAAAACCCTAAGCCCTAAGCCCCAACCCCTAAACCCGAAGCCCTAAACCCTAAACCCGAAACCCCAGGACCTACTCCAGCTCGCTGGAGTCAGTTCTCTTCGCCCTGGCTTTGGAGCAGTGGCTCCGAGGCGCCAGGGTCTGTGTCGGGCTTGGGCGTTTAGGGTTTAGGGCTTTTGGGGCTTAGGCTTTTAGGGTTTAGGGCTTTTGGGGCTCAGGCTTGTAGGGTTTAGGGCTTTTGGGGTCTAGGGTTTAGGTTTAGGGCTTTTGGGGTTTAGGGTTTGGGGTTTAGGGTTTAGGGTTTTAGGGTTTTGGGGTTTTGGGTTTTGGGGTTTGTCTTGCTGGTTTGTAGCTGCAAGAGTTCAAGACTGCGCTGTTGAGATTTTCTATTTTTCTTGTGCTCTTTGTGGCACCCTAAAGTCAAACCCTAGCGCTTCGGCCAGATTTCTCGGGGGCTTGAGGCTTCGGGGACTTGGCAGAAACTCCGCGATGGAAATAGTATGAATAATAAAGGTTATGGTATGAATAAGAACCGTAGTATTCACAAGAAGAAAAGTATTCCAATGTTAATGTCAAAATCAAGGACGTTAAGCTGAACCTGAAGGACCAACTCCAGAAAGGCAGAACCCCAGCCATAATGTATGCGCCTTAATGATTACAATAGGGTTTTGGGGTCCCTTCTTACAATTATAGTGTGTGTGTATATATATATATATATCCAAACCCTATTCTGATTATAAAGGCTGCTACATTAGGAGCTGAGCGAGGCGCGCGGCTTCGGAGTGTCACGTTTGGCGCCGCGGCTGTGGCTCTGCGACCCACCGCTGCAGGCCAGGACTGACGTGCTGCTTGCTTTTGGGTACTATAGGGGCCTTTATCAGGAATCCTCAAAACCCTACAATAATTAAGGCTACTACATTAATGAGTCCAGTGCGGTTACATGTGGGTTCGACGTCACTATGTGATACTGCACACTACTCACGACTCCTGTAGCCTGATGCCAAGCTCGGTTGTCGCACATTGCACATTAGCATGGGCTAGAAGCCAGGAGCATCGTGAAACTCTCGCACACCAGATGGCCGCCCTGTATAAAGGGTCGTTTACAGATGTGTTCTTAATCCGCACAGCAAACCTAGACGTTTCAATGTTTAATACATATTTGCAAGTTGCAGACTGGCAGACAAGGCGAGGGAGAGAGAGAGAGAGAGAGAGAGTGACAGTGTGACATATATTTATGTATGTGTTTACCTATGCATGCATGCATGGATGAATGGATAGATGGATGTATGTATGTATGTTCTTTTGACACATACATACTTCACGCATGCGCAGAACCCTGTATAGAGTATGTATACAGCCATGCTAACTTTCAGACATACATATATAATGACATACATGCAGACATACAGACATACAGACATACAAACATGCAGAGATACAGACATACGGGCATGCATGCAGAGACATACAGACATACAGGCACGCTGACATACATATAGAGACCTACAGACATGCGCACATAGAGACATGCCGACATGCAGACATTAGTACATGCATGCGTAATTACGTACGTGCATAGATACAGACATACCTAGATGCATATACATACCTACATCCTATGGATGTAGTGCTTGCTGTATATACATACATACATACATATATATATATATATATATATATATATATATAGGGTCTCGGATCAAGTGCCCACAGAATCGAGCACATCGCCGGAGACCCCAGTGCTTCGGAACATCGCCCATGGTTCGTGGGAAGAGGAAGCACGTCTGCCAAAGCTGCGGTCACACATCGTGGCCTAGCTACACAGATGCCGGATGTGGAACCCTGATTTTCCCCAGCTACACAGACTTCTGTAGCTGCACTGGTGGTTCAAAGTCAGCAGATGATGGGTCTCCTCGTTGCTATGACTACTCCTCTAGCTGGTGGCAAGCTGACAGGTTCATGAGGGCATATGAGGTTGCAGTAAACATAGTGGGACTCAACACTGGAAGACGTGGTGAAAGGCTACATGCTGTGCAGGATGCTGGTGATAGCCTGGTGCACAACGATATGAGTGAAAGGCATGATGGCCCAGATGGGAAAACATTCCTTTCGACGAATGAAGGTGTCTCGAGTTACGTGCATGATGGCCCGAATGGGCATGCACGCCACCCAAACAACAAAGATGACTGCAGCAGGGATCGACGTTGGAAGCTGCTTTATACCTTGTTACACGACGAACCTGGTTTGGCTACCGTCTGGAGTGGTGGTTGGGAACCACTGGGCGAACAGCAGTCGCCCACTTTGGGTGCCCCGGAAGACAGGTCAATGCCATTGCAGAGTCGCGGTAGATTACTGTTTACAAAGCTGCACGACGAATTCTGCAGCACGGCGCGGTGGTGTGGTTCATGGGAACCCTTGGTGCTGAATGCTACGCACATGTTCGGGCAGACGTCGCCCAACAACTCTGCATGGTGCATGCGTGGAGGCTTGCCAGTTGTCGTGGAGACCGAGAGCAGGCACGCCTTTACGCTAAATGTGGAGGCAGATGCGGCTGTGACAGTGGCACCGGGTGGGCATGAAGGAAAGCATTTCTGGCGCACGGGTGACGCCGACTTGTGCGGTACGGCGTGGACTTGCAAGACAACCACATGGAGCTTGGGCTCCCGAGATCCTCATCGCCCACTCCATGTGAGCAAGCTGTCATGTGTCAAACATGCTTTGACCGACTCGAAGGGACTGGATACCACGGAAATGAGTTTTGTGCCTTGGGATCCAGGCGGCAACGGCTAAGATGATTGTGGGCTAGATGTTGTCGTGATAGCTCAGGGAGCAAGACGGGGAATGCAGCACGATGTAAAGCTTTCATGTGGCGTTTAGCTGTGGCTGAATTGAGGGTACGTTTCGCCCGTGCTGCGCCACACTTTTCCAGTTTCGTGTATGGCGCTCGTGAGGCGGAGACAGCTTTTCACGTTACAGGCGTGCGCTGGTTTCATCTCCCTGTCCGCGAGCCTTGTATATGTAGCCTTAGCGCATACTGGTACGTGTCCAGATTTCTGCGCGAGGATTCCCTAATTAGATGCATGCCAAAGGGCCGCGCCCGAATCGGACACAACGCCCCAAATGCGAGATATATATATATTATATATATATGTATATATACACATACACACATAGAACACACGCACACACAGATATGTACACTTACCTGCACGTAGTTTTTCATGCCTCAAACGCATGCATTTTTTTGAGTGCGCGCATACGCGTGTTCAAGTCCTAGCGTCTGCCGAAGGCTATTGGCTTGCCCTCGTTCTCTACGAGGCCGGTTTGGGATTTGGAGCTGTGAGCCACCAGAACCGAGAAAGTCTTAAGCGAGAGTTTAGGGTCTAGGGTTAGGGATTAGGGTTTAGGGTTTAGGGATTACAGGGTTTAGGGATTAGGGTTTAGGGTTTGGGGATTAAGGTTTAATAAGGTTGAGGTGAGGGTAAAATGGTGCATGACAGCGAAGCGTTTGAGGCGCAAATCCGGCGGTGATTTTGACCCGGCAGAAGAGTCCAGCTTCGACTCCTCTGTGCAGACAGAGTCCACTCCTTGTAAGCCCCCCAGGTCCAGAATGGCGTGGAGTCGCTAGGCCCGTCGAAGCCACCGCTTGAAGCCTAAACCTCAACCTGCCACTGCTAACCCTCCTGCGATCTCTGTATCATTGTTACTTTAAACTTCAATATGCGCCAAAACCATACTCTTCATGATTCAGGTTTATGGTTTGGGGTTTACGGTTTAGGATATTCAGGTACCAGTTTTCGCCACATCGGAAGAGGGCCCTTTCCCCTTCCAGGTCGCTGTGGCTGCCCGGTGCGGTCAGCTTCGCAGACTTGTGCCAGGGTTCATCCTCCCAGGCTTGTGGGTTGAGGGTTTCAGGACTTTCGGGTTGAGATTTCAAAAGCTCGTATCAGATGGTTTAGGGTTTCGGGTTCTTATATTTAAGCAGTCTTGGGTTTTAGGGTTTAGGGTTTAGGGGCTATTAATGTCCATCGGCTTGTAACAAGACCTCTACACCTTAGTGCTTCGTGTTTACAAGTTTTCGTTGTGGAGCTTAGGGGCTCTAGCGGCTTCGCTGTTTGAAGTTGGGCTTCAGCGGATTCAATGCTGCCGTAGACCCTAAGCCCTAAGCCTGAAAACACTAAACCTCTACATCCTAAACCTTATAACTTATACGGTGTGGCACAGCTAAGAACGAACACTGGTTTGGTATGCCTTGTAAAACCGTTTTGCAATCCTGTAATGCCCTTGCATACATGAAAGCCCTACACTGCAAGTTTTAAGAGCCTTAAACCCTAAACCCCAAGACTGCTCAAATTTAAGAACCCCCAAACCCTAAACCGTCTGATACGAGCTTTAAAATCTCAACCCATAGAAAGCTTGAGAAGTCGGATGGCCCGGTCCACAGTACCTACACAGCCCTTTGGTCCGAAATTGCTCCTGCCTGCCACAGGGGCCTTTACCGCTAAAACTGGGGCCTGCATGGGGGGTACACTCTATGTGCAAGTATACAGGACCATCAGCGGTGCAACTACGAAGTAGTCAGAGTTGTGCAGGGGAGTTCTTCTGGACCTGCTGAGGTTACCTTGGCTGCTTGCTTAAACCCTAAGCCCTAAACTCGCAACCCCTAAACGATCCGCCTGAAGCTTAAAGCATTATAGTTTCCATCTAGTGTAGTATTCTATACCACAGAACACTATTCTATTTATTGGGGCCTCTGTATCTGCCTTGCTGAACTGTTGAGATATATTGCATGTTGCTTGAGTCTTGAATATAAAAGACTAGGAACCCGAAGACAATGACCAGTTGCTATAGGGAGCTAAATGATTACCTACACTATTCTGGGGGTTCCTTATTATACTTATATTATAGTATAATGGGCCCTAAAACCCTATTGTAATCATGGAGGCCCCTACCATCGAACCTCTAGATCCCCTTTAGAGGACCCCTTTAAAGGCACACCTGTTCTAATTGTTAAGGCCCCTATGTTAGATTTTTCTTGGCCGTAGCCGAGTCGAAGGTTTCGCGGTGGCGGTGTCCGTTTTGATGCTGAGCACGGCGCTGGACTCGTGGTGCCTGGGATGCTCGGGGGCCTCAACCCCGAAACAAAAGATATGCTATACAATGTCCACTGTTCAATATACAGTATACCATATAGTATATAGTATAGAGAATACAATGTATAGTCTATAGTGTTGCAGTATATAGCATTCAGTGTACAGTACACGGTATCTAGTATATAGATTGTCGTATGTAGTATGTACTATGTAGTACATAGTATGCAGTATGCATATAGTGCAAATAGTATGAAAATTAGATATAACATGTAGTGTACAGTATATAGTGTATGCAGTAAAGAGTATATGGTATGTAGTCGAACATATAATGTGATATCATGTAATACTGTTTTTATTTTATTGTAATGTAATGTATCAGAATGTGATATAACGTCATATGACGTAATACAATGCAATATAGCATCATGCCGTGACATGCAATGCAACATAACGTAATGCAATGTAATATACTGCCATGTGTAGTCTAAGCCAGTGGGGTTCGACATGGAGCTTAGAGTCGGGGCTGTCCGAATTTCTTGTTTCAGAGCCACCAACACCTATGAATCTCAGTGTTTTGCCGCGTTGCGGTTCCTTGAGCTTCCTGCTGTCCCGGTTTAGGGTTTGCTGGCTCCGGGTTTAGGGGTTTAGAGTGCATATACCTAAACCTTAAGCAGGGCTTTAACAGGCAATTAGGCCAGCAAGCCCGAGGTACTACGGAGAGGCGACGGTGGTACCCTGGAGCCTGTGCCATGAAAGAGTGGATTCAGTTCGGGGCAGCATAGTGGAGATTTGGCAGAAGTTGTTTCTACCTTCTGAAAGTACAACTGATGGCCATGCTGAGAGGCTCCTGTCCTTCTCGAGGTAACGGCTCTTCGCAGTTACAGCCCAGGTTGATTTTGGTGCATCTGCGCTGCCTGACATCTGCTATCCTGCTCATTTTTCGAGTTTCCACGTTTTGTGCTTGGTGCAGTCTACTGCACAACAATCCTGGTCTACTTAGGTGCAGGCATGTGTTATTGTTAAGTAGCTAGAGTAGGCATGGAGACGATTCCGGCACTGGTGCCAATACTCGCGACAGAAGGTCTTGCAAGTAGATAACAGTGAGAACAGTGGTGCGCATTGTACTGGCACACGCTGTACGGGTAACGCCAGCCAGTATGGCAAGGCACAAGAAGAAATGTTATGATCACACCACTCGTGAGGACATCGGAGATTGAGAAGCTGCGGCCAGGAATGATCCTAGTGACGAAAACTATCGTTAAAACCACAGAGGGCACTCTCGGGACATCAATACCAACACCCTGCCTGCAACATCGAGAACGCTGCAAGCTGCAAGCGGAAAGGAGTTTCCTTGCCTTCAACGTGCTCAGTGATGGCAGCGCGCTCTATGGCAGCCACGCCTGGTGCGCCAACAATCTGTGCTCACTCAGAAAGCGGGAGCAGCGGAAATACTACGACTAATCATGGCGCCAGCAATGTAAGACCAATGTCGTCAAACTAAATGTCATGGGAGTATTGTTAACAATACGTGTATTCATCCTTATTATATCACTCGATGGCTTCCGTCAGGCTCCGCTGCCCCGAGCTCTCAGAAGGCCCTCAAGTCAATTTTGTTCCAAGGCTTCGGGTTTCGGCTTAGTCAGTGTCGTGCTCTGTCATTCTTGTCATCGGTAGTCTTTTCAGCATGCGTGCTTTACCGAGCTATGATCTGCCGAAGCCGCTGCAACGAAGTGTCTCTTACCCACTACTGGCCATGCAGAAAGCCAGCCTTCAAGATGCCTGACAGTTAGGGACCGCCAAAATTGGGCTTCATTATAAGGGGGTTAATTATATGGGATATCCCTAGCCTTATTTTTGCTTATGTGCTTTTTTGGGGCCCTAGACAGGTACTGGTATGCCACGGAGGGCCTGGTCGGGGCCTCAGTTCCGCCCTTTTTCCGGCTCACAAAAGACCGGGGTTGGGGGTTGGGTAGCATTAGAGTCAGGGTTCACGGTTTAGGGTTTTCGAGGGTTTAAGTGTCATTTCGGGCCCCCTCCTGGATGCTTTTGATTGCCCAGGACCAGCTCTGCTCCAGCGCACTTATGGCCCAGGATTGCTGTCTTACCTTGCTCCAATACACACCAACACCGAACGATCATAAAACCCTGAAGCGACAGAGGGATTTTGGGGTTCAATCGGGCGTTTAAACCCCCTAAACCCTAGACTTGACATACGCGGCGAGGCCGTGACGCTTGGCACCTTCCTGCCTTTTTGCTGCGCAGGCCCGGAAGCTTTCCGGTAGCGCCGCTATAATTCATGTTATCAATAACTGCCATAAGAAGAATAACATCAATAAAACAGAGTAATGAACTTGTCAATAGCTGCAACAGCAGCAACAACAACAGTAACAATAGTCACAATGCTAAGATGCAAATCATTATTACTATACAGGTGTTTGTGCTATTCAGGGTTGCAGGTCTGTTCCGGGTTGTGTCATGGTGCCATTCATTGAAACTCCCAACTGGCAGGAACACGATCCAAACGCATATCTTAGATACGGCCCCATACAGTAAGAGTCTATAATAGGGCTACTATTAAGATCCTACTATATCTAAATGATGAATATTATTCAACTATTACTGAGTGGGGGCCGTACCCAACGCATATCGTAGACTCGTATACTCGAGTCTCAGCTAACCCGGCTCCAGTGCACAAGTACCGCAGCCCGACAACCGGACTTAAAAACCCTGACGACCAAGCTAAGCACGAAATCCGGACGACTACAGCCATACCCCTCAGGCGAATCCAGCTTTCGTCGCTCTGAGCCCCACCAGTGCTCCAAACCCAAGCCCCCAGACTTAGAATCTTTAGGGTTAGGATTTAAAATCGGAGTGGGGCTCAATGATTTGAATAGGGTGTTGGGGTATATGATAGTCTAAATATACAGTATCTATAGGCTCATTCTTAGTTTGTGCTCCATCACAGCCACTGTCTGTAAAAGGCATGCAAAACTGCAGTAACAGCGCTGGTGCAGCCCTTCACACAATCAATAGTGTCACGCTCTCCGCCAGCTTAAACCCACCTTCTCACATGGAGGTTTCAATTCATCCCATTGGGCGAGAGGAAAGGTGCTCAAAACAAGGCCATAAACCTTGAGTCCTTAAACCCTCAAGCCCCAAACCCAGAAGCATCCGCGGAGGCTAGTGACGAATTCCTCGGTTCAGTATCTAGTCGTTTTCTAGAAGGAGCAAGAATTGAAATTGCAACATTGCTTACCTGTTCCCGAAACCTCTAAACCCCCAAGTGGCCCTAAACCCTAAACCCCTAAACCTCTAAACCCCTAAACCCCTAGAATCTAAAACAAACCCTAAGCCCTAAGATTAGCATTGCAGCCGACGATCGCATGAAATCGGGGTCAGGGGCCTTCCTGGCTTTCCGCGGGCTGGGCCGAGCGGCGCTGGCGGGGCCGTTGGTAACGCGGCCTGGTCGTAGTCTGAGGTTATCCTAGGTTCACCTGGAGGTTCATGGGTAGTTATAATTAGGGCTATAAGTAGGATAACTATGATTATAACCTATATTCAGAGACTTATAACCCCACTTATAACTACCCATGAACCTAAGCAGGGTTTGGGGCTGAAGGGGTTTAGCGGTTCAGTCTAGGGCCTGTGGGAACACCTTTGCCTTTCCTCGGCGTTCTTCTGGTTGGCTCTTAGGACTTCGACTTTTTGGGTTTCTATATGGGAGTTTCCGAAAAAAGGGGACCTAATATAGTACCCTAAATAGTAGGATCCCTATAATAAGGACCCCATAATAAGGTACCCCTCATTTTCGGAAACTCCCATATGAACCATAATAAGGAGGCTAAAAGTTGAACGTTTTGGAGGGTTTCGGAAGTCAGCCAAGTTTCATCTCCAAATCCTGACATGCAAACCCCGGAACCACAAACCCTGGACCCCTGAACCCGTAAACACTGAGCCCTAAAGCCCCGAACCTTGAACCCTCTTCAACCCTAAACCCTAAACCCTGCAAACCATAAACCCTGAACCCTCGGCAACCGTAAACACCGCTTCTAATTGGTTAGTATTATTTGGGAGACCCCTTAAAGGGTACCCCTTCTGAACCCTACTTCTGGCTCTCTTAAGAGGGGCCTTATTGAGAGGGTCTATATCCCCAAGGGTCCCCCTAATCCTAACTCCCATCTAAAGGAAACTCGAAGCCAGCGAGGTCGGAACGGTGGCAGCTTTGGTGCTGCTCTCGACGGCATCGCACAAGGATTGCCCCGCATGTGCCCGCTCTTTTTAAGTTACTGTGGGTTTCGGGGCTTAGGGTTTCATAGAGTTGAATCAGGGTTTAATGTTTACAGGGTTTAGAGAAAATGACCAAACTGAGTCGCGAGCCAGCATTCCTTGGTAAGGTAGATGGGGAACAAAGAGAGTGATGCCAAACTCGCACGAATGCCCTTTGCTGGGGCTCTCGTGTTTGCGGTTTTGCACTGCGTCATCTGCCTTTGTCGCGCTATTGTTGCTCTAAGACAGGGGCCTAAATAATCACCAGGACCATTTTGGGGCTTCCTTATTATAACCATAGTATATAATGGCCCCAAAACCCTATTCTAATTATTAAGGCCCCTATATATTAGCGCTGTAGTACATTGGTTGTGTCCGGTGGTCTCCTGCTACAGCGAAGTCAGAGCCTTTCTCAAAGGATCGAAAGGATCCCTGGCCCGGCCGGTCAGTCTTCACTGTCGATAGCGCCGCCGAAACTAGGATGCCCAGTAGTACCCTTATTCCCTTTTTGTAGTCCTAGGTTCCTTATAAAGTTACCCAATACCAAAAAGAGAGGCCTTTTTTTTCTTAGGTTACTGGGTATCCTAGGAAACTTTTCAACGTCCCCATTAGACCATCGGAGCAAAGAAGGTCGCAACTGCGTCCAGGGTCTGCTTCTCTTTCCTCGGTCCTTTTCCCCTCACCTCCGCGATAGACAAGAAAAGTAGCGATGTAGACAAAGCGCGTAATCAGGCACAAGAGTATTCAAACATGTAGCAAGACATCGGAGCTGATGAGCTATCAGCCTAACCCTATGACTTATGTGCAGATGTGTCTGTGTATGTATATATACATATATATATATATAGACACACACACACACACATACAAATAGAATGTGGATATGTGCAAGCCGGCATGTAGTCGCAAGAGTGTGTGTTTGCGTGCACATTGTGTATATGTATATGTATGTATATGTATCTAGCTGTGTACTCATGTGTGTGTGTGTGTGCGTGCGTAGAGTAATGGTATAGAACCCATATGTACATATACATGTACACACATTATATGGAAATAAGTCTGAGTGCAGAGACATGCGCGTGCATACCGCAAGGAGGCGACTTGTAGTCGTGCAAAGGCCAGCCTATCCTCATGCTGCAACAGTGCACAGAGAGGTTGCCACGTATGACAGGGGCAGAGCCAGACCTACAGACAGACTCCATACATGCATATACGCATGCATGCGTGCATGCGTGCATACATACATACATACATGCATACATGTTTTCATACATATATACATATATTGACACAGGAAGGTATGGACGTATGTAGGTAGGCAGGTAGGCAGGTAGGTAGAGAGATCGCCAGCTAGCTAGCTTAGTGGGTGGGGCAGACATGCGTGAACAGAACAACCAGGCAGTTTTTAGCAGATATCCATACATGCTTGCAGATGCAACTTAGAAGCGATTACGGGCGGGAGAACCGCCACCTTCACAGGAGTACCGCTTCCTGCTCCTTGCCTGAAGCTCTACTTGCACATGGTCCTGAGGCACCCCTACTTCCTAAACCCGAGCCCCTGTAAAACTCTAAATCCGTGAACCTTAACATACTTTAAACCCTAAATCCCAACTCTAAAGCCCGAACTCCATGAACCTTCGACTCATCGGCCCGGTTGCCCTTCGCCACTAGCTGAAACCCCACCCTGCCACAGATTCTGCGCCACACATCACGCACAAAACCCGAACTTGGAGGTTCATGGGTAGTTTTAAGTAGGGTTATAAGTAGGATAACTATGGTTATAGCCTACATTCTGGGACTTATAACCCCACTTATAACTATCCATGAACCTCCAAGTACCTGACAAAGGATCCGGTATCAAAACGCATGAGCACCGATCCTTGATCAAATCCTCGAGCAACGGCACTGAGCCCAGCCCGGTGACCCCTGAAGCCCCAGCCCCAACCCATATTAGGGTTTAGGGTTCAGGGTTTAGGGTTTAGGGTTCAGCAGCTCTGGTCGAGCAGTCTCTAGTCAAGTTCGCTAGTAAGAACTTGGAAGAATACCCACCCACCCAAAGAATCCCAAAACATAAGAGTTAGAAAGTTTTTTCGTTACCCTCAGACGACATCAAACTTCAAACCCTACAACTCGATTTCTACGGATACTTATGTTTCTAGTGCTGCAGTATAGACATGCCTAAACCCTAAATTCCCTATGGTGTCAACACCCTTGCCTGCTTGTTCTAAGTAAAGCAAGTGAAGGACTGAAGTCGCTGCTGTCGCTAAACCCTAAATTTTCCATGGTGTCAACACCGTTGCTTGCTTGTTTTAAGTAGAGCAAGGAAAAGGCTGAGGTTGCTGCTGTCGTTAAGCCCTAAATTCTCTATGGTGTCAACACCCTTGCCTGCTTGTTTTAACTAAAGCAAGTAAAAGATTGAAGTTGCTGCTGTCGCTAAACCCTGAATTTTCCATGGTGTCAACACCGTTGCTTGCTTGTTTTAAGTAGAGCAAGTAAAAGGTTGAGGTTGCTGCTGTCGCTAAGCCCTAAATTCTCTATGGTGTCAACACCGTTACTTGCTTGTTTTAAGTAGAGCAAGTAAAAGATTTAAGTTGCTCAAGCAACGGTGTTGGATGTTGTCCACGTTCTTGCCAACTCCCCTCCCCACCCTAGAGCCATCGCCGCCATCGTTAAGATTTCGCTTGCAACGCAATGGACTCACGAATCCACAGAGCGAAAGTTTGGCAAGTTTTGGGTTCAACTATGCTTCGTTGGTTGATACCAGAGCAAAAGTTTGGCAAGTTTTGGGTTCAACTATGCGTCGCTGGTTGATGCCAGAGCGAGAGTTTGGCAAGTTTTGGGTTCAACTATGCGTCGCTGGTTGATACCAGAGCGAAAGTTTGGCAAGTTTTGGGTTCAACTATGCTTCGCTGGTTGATGCCAGAGCGAGAGTTTGGCAAGTTTTGGGTTCAACTATGCTTCGCTGGTTGATACCAGAGCGACATGCTTCTTTCTGTAAGGCGGAAAGATGACTTTGGGTTCAACTATGCGTCGCTGGTTGATGCCAGAGCGAGAGTTTGGCAAGTTTTGGGTTCAACTATGCGTCGCTGGTTGATACCAGAGCGAAAGTTTGGCAAGTTTTGGGTTCAACTATGCTTCGCTGGTTGATGCCAGAGCGAGAGTTTGGCAAGTTTTGGGTTCAACTATGCTTCGCTGGTTGATACCAGAGCGACATGCTTCTTTCTGTAAGGCGGAAAGATGACACATTTCTAGCTTGAAATGTGTCATGCTTCTTTCTGTAAGGCGGAAAAGATAATACAGGCCCAAAACCAGCCACTTCGGGCCCAAAGTCCAGATTTGGAGCCAAAATCCAGGGTTTGGGCCAGATCCGGCCTCCTCTGCACACTGGTAGGACCAGTGTTGCACCAGGTTTTCGAATGGACCCCCCTGGTAGGACCAATGTTGCACCAGGTTTTCGAATGGACCCCCCAGTGTTGCACCAGGTTTTCGAATGGACCCCCCTGGTAGGACCAGTGTTGCAGCAGGTTTTCGAATGGACCCCCCAGTGTTGCACCAGGTTTTCGAATGGGGGCCCTAAACCCAATGGACCCCCCAGTGTTGCACCAGGTTTTCGAATGGACCCCCCTGGTAGGACCAGTGTTGCACCAGGTTTTCGAATGGACCCCCTGGTAGGACCAGTGTTGCACCAGGTTTTCGAATGGACCCCCCAGTGTTGCACCAGGTTTTCGAATGGACCCCCCAGTGTTGCACCAGGTTTTCGAATGGACCCCCCAGTGTTGCACCAGGTTTTCGAATGGACCCCCCTGGTAGGACCAGTGTTGCACCAGGTTTTCGAATGGACCCCCTGGTAGGACCAGTGTTGCACCAGGTTTTCGAATGGACCCCCTGGTAGGACCAGTATTGCACCAGGTTTTCGAATGGACCCCCTGGTAGGACCAGTGTTGCACCAGGTTTTCGAATGGACCCCCCTGGTAGGACCAGTGTTGCACCAGGTTTTCGAATGGACCCCCAGTGTTGCACCAGGTTTTCGAATGGACCCCCCAGTGTTGCACCAGGTTTTCGAATGGACCCCCCAGTGTTGCACCAGGTTTTCGAATGGACCCCCCCAGTGTTGCACCAGGTTTTCGAATGGACCCCCCAGTGTTGCACCAGGTTTTCGAATGGACCCCCCATTCGAAAACCTGTTGCAACACTGGTAGGACCAGTGTTGCACCAGGTTTTCGAATGGACCCACCAGTGTTGCACCAGGTTTTCGAATGGGGGTCCATTCGAAAATCTGGTGCAACACTGGTAGGACCAGTGTTGCACCAGGTTTTCGAATGGAGGTCCATTCGAAAACCTGGTGCAACACTGGTGGGCATATTCGAAAACCTAGTGCAACATACGGGGGGACCAGTGTTGAGCCAGGTTTTCGAATGGACCCCCATTCGAAAACCTGGTGCAACACTGGGGGGTCCATTCGAAAACCTAGTGCAACACTGGGGGGGTCCATTCGAAAACCTGGTGCAACACTGGGGGGTCCATTCGAAAACCTGGTGCAACACTGGGGGGGTCCCGTTCGAAAACATGGCTCAACATTTAAATATTCATTTGAGAGAGAGGGTTCAGGGTTTAGGGTTTAGGGTGTGCCGAGCAAACACCTCGCGGGGCGAGCGCGCGGCACCTGCGCACATCCTTCGAACTCGAAGATGCGGCCGTTCGGGCAGTCGCAAGGTGGCCTGCGTGATCGGGGCTGAGAAGCGCTCCGAGGAGGTGCCCTCCCGCGCCGCTTGAGGGCGGCTCCCACCCTTTCCTCGCTCCGCCCTTTTGTCAAGCCAAGCCACCTCTTCCTTCTTCTTTCTTCTTCTTCCTGATTTGATGAGTTCCGAGTGGAAGTCGCCATTCGCCCGAAATCGCTGTATCGGTAGCTAGAGGCCACGGAGCAGAACAGCACTGCGCAGCGGGCGAAGGTAGATCAATATCTCAAGCGGAAAGTAAACCCATGAAACGATTTCGTTTTAACGGCATACTACATGGGCAGTGTCGTTCTATGTTTCGGATGATGTCGTGCTGCCGCTATAACAAGAGAGCGGAGGGGGGGGGGGTCGGACAGAAAATTGGTCTTCGGCAGCCTTGTTGGCGAAGGGTTTCAGCTTTTCGGTCATCGCAAAGACACTTGACAGCTGTGGTTTCTATCGTAAAGCGATGGCGTCAGCAAGCAATGCTTTCGGTCCTGAAAGTGGAAGCACTGCCGTGGACACAGTCCGATGTGGAAACATTGAAAGACAGGAAATCGACTTCCGTAACCCTTTCCCAAAAAAAATAAAAGTTGTATGTTTGCCGAGCCGGCAAGCACGGATTCGAGCAGGCGCGAGCGCATTCGTGTGTCGCCCCTGCGAGTGAAACTAAATCTAAGCTGCTAAAAGCCTACCCACCGTGTCTTTTATTCCGCCGTTGTGTATGTGCAGCTAGCGCTCACGCAGACTAAGCTCAAGATCATTCGTACGTCGATGCTAAACCGTAAGTTTGCTGTGGTGATCATATCTGCGATGGTTCGATTCGGAGGAAGTGGCGTTGAGGTGAGACTGATGAAGTCATCGGTCCGGTTGCAGCAGCGAGCACCAGCCGGTCGAGATCTGATGTTGCCCCCGGGGGGGGGGGGGCGGCCCAATAATCTGCATTTTAGAGCAAGTCCATGGTGTCCTTCTACTTTGAAGTTAGTTGAGTATGTCTGATTTGAACTATGCTTCTTAAGTTCTTGGCTGTTCGTCTCAGTGTCGTGATGTGTTCGGGGCCTAAGAACAAAGCATCTGGATATGTTTGAAGAAATGTGACTCAAAAAAGGTGGAGAGGGAAGGGATGAGGCGCCAGCAGAGATTCCTGATCACGCAGATGAGGAGCTTGCAGACTAGACGGTCATCGCAAAGAGATTAGAAAGCTGATACTGCTATCATAATGCGATATCGTCACGGAGTTGGCAGCCTTGTTGGGGTTGCAGCTTTTCTGTCATGGCAAAGAAACTTGACAGCTGCGGTTGCTATCATAAAGCGATGGCGTGACCGCAGCCGCAACTGTTTCATGATGTATCGTTGGAGGTGTGCTTGCCAGTGTGCTACGGCCAAGGGATTCTTGATCAGTTGCTCGATGTGCTGCCAGTAGGCTCCATATGTACTGAACTTTCGTGGGGCAGATTCAGTTGCGACGGAGCAGAACAGCACTGCACAGCGGGCGAAGGTAGACCAATATCTCACCTAGAGCGGAAGGTAGCCCCATGATGCGATTTCGCTTTAGTGGCACGTCACAGGGGCAGCGTCGTTCTATGTTTCGAAGGCGGAGAGGGGGGGGGGGGCAGGGCGGGCATAAAATTGGCAGAGCCAGCCCCTCAAAGCCATCGACGACAGTTTTAGTACATGTGTTGTTTGTTTACCAAGGGCGCTTTGGAACATGTGTTGATTCTGGCAATAGATCAGTCAAGATAGCAGTTGAAACAATGTCAATCAAGAAAGAGCGGAATGTGAAAGGATGAAGCGGCAGAAGGGATTCCCGATCGCGCAGATGATGAGCTTGCAGACTGGACGGTCATCGCAAAGAAATTAGAAAGCTGCCGTTGCTGTCGTAAAGCGATGTCGTCATGGGATCTTTCAGCTGCTATGAGGCAGAAGCATTTGATGGCTGTGTTGCATGCCAGGTAGCGCTAGGCATTTGAGCAGAGTCATGTCGCATGTCACGCGTGGGCAAGACTGTGGTAGAAACGGTGACGTTGCACATGTTTTTGTTTTTCAGCTGCCGTGTTATAATGCAGGGGACGCATTGTTGCAATGACTGGAGTTGTCGGGCATGCGAAGTGTCTGCGAAAGCACTCGCCTGCCCCGGAGCCCTCGGTTCAAGACTTTTCGCGCTCCGCTCGCAAGGCGCAAGCAATGTGCGGTGCTCAGTCCCGGCCATAGCATCACGTCAGCGTGGCGAGACGGTGCCGAGGCCGGCGTGGGATACCAACAAAGCTCCTCGCAGGCGAGGCCTAGTCTGCTCGGCCGCAGCCACAGTGCATCGCCGCAGGCACGGGCCGCACGACCGCGCAGGGCGACGCGCGCGGCGGCGGGCCGCAAACTCAAACTCGGGCTCAACCAGTAAAGACTGTTGCGCATGCATGCTTAGCTTCATGTAAACTGCATCGTCAAAGGCCCGCCAGGCGATGGAGGCCCGTAGGTGATTCGATCCGAAAGAATCGTGGGACCTAACAACGTTGGGCTATAACTAATCCATTCCGGGGTTCTGCTGATAGGATTTTATGTCTCATCCGACAGGCAGCAACCGAGCCGCATCCGGACACCGACGACGAGGCTGGGTGTCGTCTGCCAGTTTCGACTTATGGCATTGACATTGCTAGGTCGGCATGCCGACGTACCGCGGAGATACAAGAGCACGCCCCTAAATCTCACAGAGCAGGAACTCAAGCTCGGACTCAAGCAAAAGATCGTTGCGCCTGCATGCTTAGCTTCATGCAGGCTGCATCGTCAGAAGGCCGCCAGGCGACGGGCCCGTAGGGTTTGGAGCCGACAGAGCCGTGAGAACCAACAGCGCTGAGCTATAACTAATAATGTGTCGGGGTACTGCTGATAGGAATTGTAAGTCTCATCCGACAGGCGGCATCCGAACCGCATCCGGACACAGACGACGAGGCTGATGTCGTCTGGCAGTTTCGACTTTTAGCATTGGTTTTGGTAGGTCGGCATGCCGATGTACCGCGGAGATACAAGAGTACGCCCCCGAGCTCACAGAGCGGTGGAGCAAACCCTGTGCCGCGGGAGTGCATGCAGCACGCGTGCATCGCGTAACATCGAGGCCAGCCGGACGGAGCAGGCTCGGAAATCGAGTGTTAAAAAGTAATGTTTCCAGACGAAACAGTTTCAGCCATGCAGGTGGTCATTATCTATATCCCGGTGCAGTGCATTTTCGAGGCCGCATCGAGTTTATCATAACGAAGCTAATCTTCACGACTCCAGGTCGTCCTATGGATCGTCACCACTGGAGTGCCGCCTTGACTGTCTCGCTAAGCTTCGATTCTAGTGTAGTGTCGGAAGGCCGACAGCGCCAAGGCCGATGTAGTGGTTGAAATACGCGGCGCGGACGGAGTCCCCGCGTATCGCACCTGCGACCCACGACAGGGGCATGACATCGACAGCTGTCCAACAAAGTCCACATCGCGATGCAGTCGCCTGACATGCGCGGTGTATGCACATCTAGGACGTATCCGCGACTCGAATCCGCAGACGTTTGCCATCTCATCTGGGTTTCATCCCGCCTCTAGACGCATTGCGACGGAGGCAGGCAGCAATACCTCGTCGAGTGAATGTGTTAGCTCATCCACACAGGTCTGACGATGATTCTGTACTTGATCGCACTGCTTGTCGTCTTGGGGCTCCAGTCTCGGCTGGACTGCGTTCGAGCATTCTGCGAGCTCGGCCCAATTGTTTGTTACTCAGGTCGGCAGGCCCATCCAGAAAGCGGGTAAGGCTAGAGACCCAGAGTCTGCAGTGCATAGCAATAGTTGTGTGGAGGCAGGTTTGTGCAGCAAGAGGTACAGCGTCGACGTCGAGCAAGGAGTTCGCAAGTATCAGCAATAGCAATAGTAGCAGTAGTAGTAGTAGTAGTAGTAGTAGTAGTAGTAGTAGTAGTAGTAGTAGTAGTAGTAGTAGTAGTAGTAGTAGTAGTAGTAGTAGTAGTAGTAGTAGTAGTAGTAGTAGTAGTAGTAGTAGTAGTAGTAGTAGTAGTAGTAGTAGTAGTAGTAGTAGTAGTAGTAGTAGTAGTAGTAGTAGTAGTAGTAGTAGTAGTAGTAGTAGTAGTAGTAGTAGTAGTAGTAGTAGTAGTAGTAGTAGTAGTAGTAGTAGTAGTAGTAGTAGTAGTAGTAGTAGTAGTAGTAGTAGTAGTAGTAGTAGTAGTAGTAGTAGTAGTAGTAGTAGTAGTAGTAGTAGTAGTAGTAGTAGTAGTAGTAGTAGTAGTAGTAGTAGTAGTAGTAGTAGTAGTAGTAGTAGTAGTAGTAGTAGTAGTAGAGTAGTAGTAGTAGTAGTAGTAGTAGTAGTAGTAGTAGTAGTAGTAGTAGTAGTAGTAGTAGTAGTAGTAGTAGTAGTAGTAGTAGTAGTAGTAGTAGTAGTAGTAGTAGTAGTAGTAGTAGTAGTAGTAGTAGTAGTAGTAGTGGTAGTCGTAGTAGTAGTAGTAGTAGTAGTAGTAGTAGTAGTGGCACGCCGGCGTCTTGGGCTTGTTGAGGAGCATTGGCTAACACAACGTGTCTCTAACTATACCGAATAACTGCTGTGCACGCTGTTCAGGTCTGTTGTTCCGGCGGAAGCCCCTTGGGACACGACGCCTGCGACTCCAGGGATCGGGACCATCCCGCCGGCGTCTTGGGTTTTTGGGGAAAAGTCATCAGCACACCGCTTCTCTAACTGTACCGAATAACTGCTGTGTGCTAGAGCAGACACTTCGTGCCACGTCTGTTGTCGAAAGTGACGAGGTCTGCTTCGGAGAATGTGGAGATTTGCCGAGACCTCATGCCGGACGAGAGGGAAGGCCCGTGTGAGATGACTGTATATGAGCCGTGAACTCCTGTCGCCCCGAAGGTGGGTACTCTATCTGGGTGGTCCGTGCCTTGGCAACGGCCAAGCAGGCTGGGGACGGATCTTTTCAACGTTGTTGCGATGATCTTCTGGCAGTCTTCGGACCGGATATGACCTCGATGTACATGCAACAGCTGGACCATCTGGAAAGTGAGCTAGCAGGGTCGGTGATGCACGGTGCGGATCGATCAGCCTCTGCAATCACAATTCATGACACGGACTCGGAGGGCTCTGCCGCCGGGACAAGGGCCGAAACAGCTGCAGAAGCATATGCCGACACTCGCCTTGCACTGAAGGTTCGTGCGCCGTACATTGACCAGATATTAGACGGCAGCAAGCGAATCGAAATTCGAAGTGGCCCATGTGCACATGCGGAAAGAATTACTCTCATAGAGGTGGGGTCAAAGCTCATCAAAGGACGTGTGACCGTTCGGCGATCACGACAGATGACGAGCGCCGAGAAGCAGCAACACGCCTCGGTACTGAGCAAGTTGGGATACAAGAATCCGTGGGCTTGGGAGTTGCACGACCCCGAGGTCGTCGATCCTCCTATCTTGGTGCCAGACGCTGTCGGCAAAAACATCGTTACCTGGGTCCCGCGCATGCGATGGGAGAAGTGGGAACGAGGTCAAGCAGCGGTGCCCTGCCCCGGCCAAGCCAAGACGCATGCCCCTGGTCGTTCACTGGTCCAGAAATGGCGTGCTCAACTCGAAAGCCGCAGGCCGGTGCAGAAGCTATCTGCACCTCCCGCCCAGGGAATCCTCTCACATTAGAATTAAATGTCTATTTCTTTTGGCTCGAATCTGTTTGATAACAGAGTCTAGTAAATGAAATTGCTCAACTTGAAAGCCGCAGGCCGGTGCAGAAGCTATCTACACCTCAAAGAAGAGCCTATGAGCAACAGCGAGGGCGCGAAGTGGAGAGATTGCGACGGAAATTGCCAGCACTATACGGAGCCGAGGTGCGCCCAGACTCGGAATGGATGTCGCCGCTTGCCAAGGCGCTTCAACAGTGGTGTCATTACAAGTCTTGGAGGGCATGCTCGGTGTGTGGGCGTATGCAGCAGCAGCGGTACATGGCGCAACACGGTCGCAGCAGCGATAGACCGGAAACGACTGCTCCGCCTTGTGGATTCTGTCGCAGTGATGGAAAATTAGGCTATCGATCGCCCGGGCCGGCAGAGGTCCCGAAGCCTTTACGAAAGCTGACAGAACGCTGCAGAGATGCGTTGAGGCCATTTGATATTTATAGGGGGTATGAAAGTCGAGCACCTCAAGGTTATTTCGTGCACACGGATATGATTCGGTTTACCTTTAAGACACACCCGGTCGAGCAGCAAATTGCCGGCTTGCCAAGTCGGAAGGAAAGGCGTCGTGCGAGGCGGGCGTTCCGCTGGCTCATGCAACAGGGCATCTCGGCTTACCGGGACTTCGTGGACTTGCATCGTGCTTTCTTGCGGCAGACTGACGCAAGGGCAGCATCCGACGCTTCGACGCCAAGAACCGCCAGGCTGCCGGTTTCGTTCCTGGAAACAGTGGGGCTGGAGTGCGCACTATGGCCCGATTTATATTGGCGAACGAATATGACAGAAACGTATGCACGCTCACGGGACGTGCGGCGGCGGCAGGAGACCACAGGCGCTGCAGGGGAGCAGGACGCGGAGACGGACGAGGAGGACGCACAGACTCGAGGGCGTCAAAGCGCAAAGGCTAGTTTCCTGGCCAAAGCCTTGGGACCGCTGCTGGGTTACAGCGCAGACCGCGCACTGGTGCATTACGTGTACGACCTTTGGTTATGGAGTTCTATCGGGGGAGCGAGAAATGCGGTGAACCTCGGGGTTCGCGAGGCCCTAGCCTCGAAATCATTCAGTCCGGAGCTTTGGCGCCGCAATCACGCTGCCCTTGTCGATCTACAGCGACAACATGGTCTGCCGTCACTCTTCATAACAGTGGCTCCATTCGAACCCAGTTTTCCTTATCACATCTGGACCCAGGATGAACTTGAAAAAAACCTGCGCACGCGAACCAACCTGCCACTCGCCGAGACGCTCCACATTGCCCATGTATTGACGCAGGTATTAAAAGGATTTCTTTGTGGCCACGGTGACGACAAGACGTCGCACAAGGAACGTCGAGGAGGCTATGTCTTCACGGGCGGCCGGAACTCCGGCTGCGTGCGCGCCTGGGTGGGACGCTTGGAGTTTCAGGATGGGAAGCGTCTCAGACATAACTACGGCAAACAACAGGCGTATCACGGTAGCGGGCGTGTCCACTTGCATTGTCTGGTATGGCTGCGAGGAGCTGCCAGCTTGGACCTTCCTTCCAAAGTTCGTGCAGATATCCCAAGGGAAGCGGCGGAACCGGAGCTTCGATGCCTCGTCAGGGACTCTCAGCTTGACTGGAACCACAGTGGTTGGCCCTTGCGAGAAGAACCGTCCCAATACGACAAGTCCTCCAAGCTCTTGCGATTGAGACATCCGCAGGATGCTTTCGACCAGCATTGCCGAGCTTATTTCCCAGATCTCCTGCAGAGCTTGCGGTGTCATATGGACGTCCAGGCGTCCGATGGCCGCAGCCTCGTGTTGAAATACTGCTGTAGCAACTCGCTCTCACTAACCTTCGATCACGGTCAAGTCGTATATGGCTATGTGTCAATCTAACGTAGTTTCGTGAAGTAGGTCCGACTGCAGCCAAGGTTATCTTCCAAAGTTTAGTGATTCCTTCGCACATGAGCTACTCTCCAACGAGGCTTCGACTTTCGAGCTGACCAGGCGGATATTATGCGAGTATCACCCGCTGGAACCCGAGATGGTATGCCAACTCGCGGGTGGGCACATTCCACAGTTCTTCTGCAGTGGTGTCGTTCGTAAGTTCGTGGTACCTGTGCCTTGGGACAAACCGGAGCTTCCGAGAATAGTGGAACTTTACCGGGTATGTTCCTGGAGAACAGTCGGCATGAGTCTGCTGGATTATTTGCGAAAAACAAACAACAAAGGAGGCATCCAGCAGCGGTACGTGAGAAAGCATAGGCGTGCAGGAGTCAAAGAATCACTCCAAGACTGGATCAAAGACGTTCGACCGGACGGAAGCGTTCTGGTGGCCCTTGTGATGTACTCGAGGTACAACGACAAGTTCTTTGGGCAGTGGTTATTGCTGCACTATCCATTTCGACAGTTGGAACAGCTCTGGGATGAGCGTGTCCAAAAAGTCCCCGCAAGCCTGCGATTTTTGACGCTGTGTTTACTAAAGGCTCCAACATACTGGCGGGATTTGCGGAACCTAGAAGCAGATCTGGAGTTGGAAGCACAGTCGCAGCTTTATGTCCAAAATCTCCTTGCGATGGTCGCCGCGCGAATTGAACTGGCAGACGCCTATTTGAGCGGTGAGATTTCTATAGTTGACTTCCCTAACGAGATCTCTCTGTTGGGTGGCAAGTTGACGGACACTGGCGTCGAATTGGCAGCAGACCAGCTTGCCGTTCTGGCACGCCTCCGCCGTAACGTAGGTGTAGCCCTGGAAGCGAGGCTCGGAAAGTCGAACAGTTTTTCACAACTTTAGTTTAACGTCAATGTAGGCTGCCTGATTCACCGACACAGGTGGCCTGAGGATGCGGATCACGTGACGCCGTGGATTCGCTGGATGGAACAGGACACGGCCGTGAATGAAGCACTGGCAGTACTCGGTCCTGCCGGAAGCGGAAAAAGCACGGCCGTCGAGGTGGCCGCCCGCGAGTCCATGCGTGTCGGAGCCCGTGTGGGAATAGCGTGTCCGACAGGAATGCTAACGTCACGTTACAGACATCGATTCCCAGATGCAGACGTCGATACAATCCATGGTATGTTTGCTTTACATCGTGCGGAATCAGAGACGTTGGATCTGATGACGACGTATGACCTAGTGATCATCGACGAAGTGGGCCAATTATCTGAGTCTATTTTCGAAAGATTGATGAGACTCTGGTATGCAGCTATGCGCCGTCCAGTACTTTGCTTCGTAGGCGATTTCGCGCAACTGCGCAGTATCGAAGGGACGAGTCCACGGCAGAGTCCGTGGTGGCGCCAGGTGCGGCGCATGCATCTGAGGACCATGCGACGGTGCAAGTGCGAAAGACTGCGGTGGAAATTGGAACTACTGCGGCGTGCCAAACCGACCAAGAAGCAATTGCATGACATCTTACGAGGCCATCGAGCGCCGATGCATCGTCCCCAGGGGCATGCGACCATTCCGACGTTGGCCGAGATTGAGCAGATCTTTGCGGAAGCCAAATCGGCTCGACGCAGACCGCTGTTCGTCGCATTGAGCCGCCGGGGTGCCGATCACCTGAATAGGCTGGCCGTTTCGGCTCTGTTCTCGCAGAGCACACCACTGACACGCCTCCCTTGTGATCCAGACGCCAACTTGGACAACTTCCAAGGGCAACAGCAGGTGGCGGCGGAACCAATGGACACGGACATTTTCGACGGCATGCGAGTACTCCTCACGGTCAACGAGGATAAAGTACATGGCTTTGTTAATGGTATGCTAGGAGTTGTTCGTCGAGTTCGACGCAATGCCGTTGAAGTCTTGACCGATGCAGGCGAGGTGCTTGCAGTACATCCTGTCACACGAGAAGTCGAGGTTGCCGGTGGCGGGACGCGCAGAATCACATACTATCCCATGAGAGCAGGATACGCGACAACACTGTATAAAGTACAGGGCAGCACATTGGAGAGCATTGTCATGTGGTTCGATGTACCTTATGTAGAGGCGGCCGCGTACGTGGCACTGTCACGTGTACAGTTTGACTCGCAGTGGTCCTTCTTAGGTGATGTCACTACAGCACACTGCGTGCCGGCAAGGACGGACTAATCAAGACTCTTGCAGACGGTGCGGGCCTGCGTCCCCGTCGGAAGGCAAGAGAAAAGCCAAAAGAACTTTCAAAGTCGGACTGCTGCTTGGCTTGTTCCTTGACACGTGTTACTGGAATTCGTTTTTTCCTACGAGTTATTTCCGGAGGACCGGGGCCAAACCCAAATCCGAATGATTCGACCCGAAAATCATATACACAAACCCAAGTTTCCCGGTCTCCGGTCATGCGGATTTCGTTCGACCCGCCGCGGCAACTTTTGGTTTCGGATCATCGCACCCAAACACAAGAGTCAGTTGAAATGCGAACACCACCGGATCCCTAACCCAGACAGTTTCGTGTCGAATCCGAAATAAAATTCCAAGTTTCGACACTGAACCTAGGGGGCGGTGCCCACGAGTTTCGACCTGGTAATCATAACAAGTTTAAAAAAAACGGGGACCTCGACTTGGGCACCTGGCCCCATTTAAAATGCATATTTTATGTAAAGAATTTAACAAGCAAAAATCAGCTGCAATGTACCAGATTTCCGGAGGACCGGGCCCAAACCCAAATCCGCATGTTTCGACCCGAGAAGCATTGGCACACCCAAACCCAAAACCCGGTTTAAATGCGAAACCCACCGGATCCTCGCCCAACAGTTTCGTGCCGAAACCCGAAAGCACAATCCCAAGTTTCGATACTGAAAACAGGGGGCGGTGCCCAAGCGTTTCGACCTGGAAATCATAACAAGTTAAATAAACACGGGGACCTCGACTTGGGCACATAGCCCCAATTAAAATGCACATTTTATGTAAAGAATTTAACAAGCACAATCGCCAGCAATTTTCCAAGTTTCCGGAGGACCGGGCCCAAACCCAAATCCGAATGTTTCGACCCGAAACTCATATGCAGAATCCCAAGTTTCTCGGTATATGGTGTTTCGTTGCGACCCATGCGGATTTCGTTCGATTCGCCACGGCAACTTTCGGTTTCGGATCATCGCACCCAAACCCAAGTTAAGATTGGATGCGGAAACCGCCGGATCCTAACCCAACGATTTCATGTCGGAACCCAAAACAGAGTCCATCTTGACGTGAAACCGCGGATTAGGATGGAAACATTTGGGCGAGCCCCTATCAATCACGACTATAAATCCGAAATTATACTCCAGTTTCGTCATGAATCTTTCGGAGACGGTACCGAGACCCGAGGTTTTAGGGGACCTGTTTAATATATATTGAATGTCGGTCATGTTCATGGAGTCCGACATTCTCTCGGACGGAATAGGACTAAACGTCCTGTCGTCCTCGGCCACCAAGTACTAGCGATGGCACGCACTAGAATCTATATGGAACATAGCATGGCACACCTGTGACGAATGTTCAACGTGACACCGTACAGAGTGGTATGCCAGCGGGGTCACTCCTCCAACGCTTCAAGGCGTTGGAGAGACGTGCCGGTGAGTTTAGGTTTCAGGGTTTAGGGTTTAGGGTTTAGGGTTTCGGGTTTAGGGTGACTTTTTTTCGCACTCCATGGGGCCCATGCAGTCATGAGTACAAGTGGTGTACCTGATGGATGAGCGAGACCCCTAAACCCTAAACCCTAAACCCTAAACCAGAACGTTGCAGTTGTGGAGTCAGTCTGGGCGTTGTCTTGCAATCTTTGCAGTGGCAGCTGTCGCAGTGACACAGCACGACAGTTTGGCGCACTGCTCTAGGACAGAGCAGTCGGCTGGAAGCGAAATCAAGTGGCAGTAATAGTCAGATCTGTCGTAGCAGTTTTAACTCCTAGGAAGGCTACCAGGGATAACCGGCTTTCCGCGCCCGCCTCAGCACAGCTCCATGAGTGCATGGGTGTCAACTTACTTGGTTTCTCTTCGCCGCAGTACACAGGTCCAGGGTGGTGTTGCTTACAGGCAGCAGAAGGGCAGTGACCGGAAATGAGGCCAATCATATGACTCGTTGTCTTGTATAAACCATAGATTGATAGACTCTTTGCTGGGGCGTGCCCACATGCATCTGAAACTTGCATCTGCTCACCAGCATCTTGTGTGGGGATCCTTCAGTAGACCCTGAACCTTACGCTGTCCTATACCGTGCCCTAACCCCTGCACCCTAGAAAGTACTGTCTCAGGCTTCCGTTCTTCCCCCTCTTCTCGCTGCTCTCAGGCGGGGATCCAGGGGACCAGGATTACAGACATAAGCCTTGGGGTTTCGGGTATAGGATTAGGGGTTGGCGTTTGGGATCATCAGGTTTTACGGTTTCGCGTGTAGGCTGTGAGGCAAGGCTGTCGCCATTAGCATGTTAAGCTACGTGGTGGCGGCGGCTACAACGACGACGAGGGTTACTACTGTGCAAGCATACTTAGGACAGTGTGCAAGCATACTTAGGATGCTGTTGCTGCAGATGTAGAAATCAGGTTGTAGGCGCAATCAAAGTAAGCACCAGGATTTGTCCATAACCTCACTACAGTAGAAAAGCGCGAACGTAAAGAGTTGTTGTGACTACCAGCACCGAGATCGTTCTGTTGTTGTGACTACCAGCACCGAGATCGTTCTATTGCCCGTAGCATGACCAGGGCAAAGACCTCAATACTGTTGATGGACAAAATCCTGCATTACCCATTATAGGGAATATGCCATAGTTCCCATACTTTAGAGTCCTTAGGGTCATGCAGGCTTTTGTCCATCAGCAGTATCTCATGTAGGCCTTAGAAAGCAAGCATAGTTGAGCAGATTTTTCACCTACCGCGAAAGCTATGAGCAGATGCTGGACGGAACCCTACACCCTAAGCCCTAAACCTCTAGGATTCAGGGTTAAGGACGACTTGGTATGAGAGTTGCCGGAATACTTCTACAGTGAGGCTCTGTTCGAAGAGATACCTCAATAGAGGACGGTTGGCTTTTCCTGGGCACGACAGTGCTTTGCGGTTTTAAGGTGAGGTATGGTGAGGCTCAAACGTGTAAGATGATAGTGAAACTACATAACTGCAGCTATATATATATATATATATACACACATACACATGCATGCACAGAGATACGACGTAAACATGGAAGTAGACATAGATATAGGCATAGCCATATCCATCTGCGTATGCATGTGCATATTAATGCTGGCACACGCACATACTGTTAAACAAAAACCTAAGCATGTGCATATGCATGAATACGCAAGGGCCACAACCCTTGTACATACACGTATACGTATACCTATATTTATACGAAAACAACGAAAGCATGAATGAAACCATAGAAGTACAGATACGTTCAGACTTACATACATGCACACATACATACAAACGTACATACATACGTACATGCATACACACATACGTCCGTACATACATACATACGTACATACGTACACACATCCATGCATAAATGGAAGTAATTATGTATGTACATGCATACACTCATAGTTGCATATTCTTTCACTACTTTTTACATACCCCTGGGTAAATACATACTTAGGACGCGACGGGACGACAGAGAGGCCTTTAGACGAATTCAAGAGACCGCCAAGTACCCGAGACACATCGTCCCATGTTCAGCCCAGCCCAGGATTCTCAGGATCAATAAGTTTCGGTTTAGGGTAAAGGGGTTTAGGCTTTAGGTTTGGGGTTTAGTGGTTTAGGGTTTAGGTTTTTGGGTTTAGGTTTTAGGGTTTTGGCTTTTAGATTATACGGTTTACGGTTTAGGGTTCATAGTACGTATTAAGGTTGCTGTACCCAGAGAGCCCAACACCCCTTAGAGAAGCAATCCGCCTTAAATTATCTTCAGCAATCTCCCGAACCCCTAGACTCTATTTCCTAAGAGCATGTTTGCAATCCCCAATTCTGGATCCAGGGTTTAGGATTCAGCATTCAGGGTTAAGTTTCAAAAGGGTTCCGGATCCTTTTCACACTTCTAAGGTTTTCTGTGATATTCGGGGCTGCGGACGCCCTGTTCGACGGCGACTGCTACCATTGGACCCTAAAATCCCGAAGCCCCGAGACCCCTCAACGCTGTTTTGGGTTTGGGGGTTCTGCGTTTAGGGCACTTCGATGAAGATCTGCGAAGGAGCCGGGCTTCAGCGGTGCAACGATGCTTGCTTGCGCCGGAGCGGCAAGGCCCGGATAGGCTGCTCCGATTCTCGCAGTACATGGGGGCGGTCCAAAGCTTAATTCCAGAAATGGGTGGTTGTCAAAATTAGGGTCCCCTTTTTGGGAACCCTACAAATTAGGTGCCGTACTATATTAAGGACCCAAAAGAGGACCACAATTTTGACAACCACCCAATTTTCAAGCCATGAGTGGGCAAGAATCACAGGGGCCTAAATACCCGCCAATCTTTCAAGGATTGTTTATTATATGTAGGGTATAACATACACCGAAAAACCATTCCACTGATTAAAGCTCCAAGATTAGCCCCGAGCTCTGAAGCCCTAAGCTGTATAGTTTGGGCGAGCTCAACCCCCTCAAAGAGGACCCTTTAATGGGCTATGTAATGGGTATCTAATGGCTATATTATGGGTATATACCTAGGGGTCCTTATTAGGGGTCCCTCCTTTTACCCTTTGACTGGACTTCTCAATCCTTAAACTGCGCCAGGCAGCCGGCATTAGCTGGCCCCTGCTTTGCGCCGTCTTCCTGCCCCAGGCTGGGGCCAAAACAAAGCCAAAGTTTCTTCATGCCGAAACCCCGAAGCCCTACTGTGCGAAGTTGATGAGGGTTTCCCTGCTTTCAGGTTTCGTTTTGGTTAGAAAAACCAAAGCCCTTCGCCCTCATCGTCCTCAAGCCGAACTGCTCTGCCAAGTTTCGTAGGGGTGGGAACATGCAGAAACCCTAAACCCGAAACCCTGAACCCGAAACCCTGAACCCAAAACCTAAACCCTAAACCCAAAACCCTAAACCCAAAACCGAAAACCCTAAACCCGAAACCTAAACCCAAAACCGAACACCCTAAACCCGAAACCCGAAACCCTAAACCCAAAACCCCAAACCCTAAACCCTACACCCTAAACCCGAAACCCTGAACCCTAAACCCTAAACCCGAAACCCTGAACCCTAAACCCTAAACCCAAAACCCCAAACCCTAAACCCTAAACCCTAAACCCAAAACCCTGAACCCTAAACCCTAAACCCTAAACCCTCAACCAAAGCAGGAACTCCCAGGAGGAGTCCGGGCCGCTTCTCTCCTAGGCTTTGTGCGCCTGATGTAAGGGCCTTAATAAGCAGACTAGGGTTTTGGGGGTTCCTTATGATAATTACAGTATAGTCTACCCCAAACCCCTGTTCCAATCATGAAGGCCTCTGCTATAGAACCCTACTGTAGATCCCCCATAGACCCCGTCAAAGGACCTCTTGAAAGGAACCCCTATCTAGTCATTATTAAGGCCCCTACATTAGGCGATGGCCGCCGTTCTCTTCTGCCTGGTGCACCAGCGAGGTGCCGAGGCTGTACCCTGGCGTCCACTACGAGAGCCCCTTTTGCGCTTCGGGCTTTTAAGAGGGTTTTGCGGCTTGAGGCTTAGGGTTTGGGGGTTTAGGGTTAGTAGGAATATGGGGTTTAGGGTTTTGGGGTTTCGGGCTTAGGGTTTGGGAGTGTAGGGTTTAGGGGTTCGCCAAACTTCAGGCAGCTTGAAACCAAAATGATCTAGTCTCCAGGCCTGTAAGCCCTGGGCTATCTTACGCTTGTTCCGACGTGTCGAGGAGGCTGCCGACGCGGAACTCCTGTCTTTTCCAAGTTGGTGTTTTGCGGTTCTTGCGGGTGTTGGTTCTGCATGTCTTGATTTGATGGTGTTAGTTGCGGATAAGGGAGTTCCACTTTCCAAATTATCCTTTCCGGAGCTCTTGCGGCTCTTGCACTCTGCTAGAATGTTGCAGAGAGACGACAGAGCTTTCGTTTCTAAGGTCATGTCACACTTGCGATCGCGACCACCAGGCCCACGGCTGCTTCGCAAAGAGGGCATGTGGGTAGTTCTCTAAATTAGACCCTTTTAGGGTTCCTTATATGAACATCGGGAACTGCCCATGTACTGACAAGAAGAATGCCCCACAACGCCACCAGCACCAGCACCCCCGCCGCCGGGACAAAAGCAACAACCAATCGTGGTTCACGGCCTGTAAGGCGGTGTCGTAGGGGCCGAAGCGGTAGACTATTCTCGGTGACACGTCTTGAACAGCAATGAAAGCCCAATGAAACCCTCTGTAGCCCCGCAGCACAGCATGAAATCCCGTAGCAGCACGAATGTGTATGTGCCGAGCGAATAAGCCGAGACCAGAATAGAAGTGTTGGATTTCAAGCTCTGGGTTTGCTGCCTGAAGGGGTACCGGGTATTGGACAGTTTGGGATCTCCGGTTACTTCTGATGACAGCCTTCTCTCATCGAGCCTGCCTTTCCATACAATCAGAGGACTATTCTTAGGGTTTAGGGTTTAGGGTTTAGGGTTTTGGGTTTGGATCTCTCGTTCTACCCAAACCTTCCACAACACCAAGGCATCAACGACGATGTAATGATTACGTGATGCTTGTTCCTTCGTAACTCAAAGGAAGCACAGGCATGCTGTCTAGCATGTCCTCTGTTGCTGCAGCAGCGGTTGTGATTTCTCTTCTATCCGTTGTTTCAGTTTTCCCACTCCTACTCCTATCAGTACTCGCTACTCATACCCCTACGCCTGCTCCTGCTCCTACTCCTGCAAGTACCCCTACTCCTACAAGTACTCCTACTCCTGCGCCTACCACTACCACTACCACCCCACCCCCACTACCAGTACTAACACTTCCACTATATACCACTACCACTCAGCTAACGCTTCCACTACCACCACCACTATCACCACCACGATCACCTACACGACCAAGACCACGAAGGTGCCCACGACCACGACCACGACGACGACTGTAGGGGCCTTAATAATTACCTTTTCTATTTTGGGGGTTCCTTATTATACCTATAGTATAATATACACCTCAAAACCCTAGTCTAATTGTTAAGGCCCCTATTTTGCTGCTACTACTACTACTACTACTACTACTACTACTACTACTACTACTACTACCCCTACCACTTCCATTCCCACTCACACTGCTTCCACTGATGCGGCTGCGTGAAGCCAGGCGATGCCGGGGCCTTCTTCCTGACGCACTGTGGCTTGGCTCGGTTGCTATTGCCAGAAGGGGATACCGGGGCCTTAATCATTACCTATACTACGGTTGATGATATAAATCCTGCATTCCCTTAAGGGCCCTAAACTATGGGATTTATGGCACATTCCTTATTATGGGTAACTCAGGATTTACATCTGGGGGCTCCTTGTTATAGCATAGTATAATGGGCTCGGTCGTCCTTACTAGCCTCAAAAGCCTTGAAGCTTCAGGGTTTATGTAGGGCAAAGAAGAATTTTTTGGTTTCAGGTTGGGCAAGGCTTGAAGCTACTATTTCTGACTGGTTGAGGGTGTGCGGTTTGGGATCTAGGGTTTCTATACAACCTGTGGTGTTTCAGTTCAAGGTTTCAGAGCCGCTGGATTTTGGGCTTGATTGTTGGGGCACTGTCCCTTGATGTGCCTTCCACAGATGCTGAAAGCCGAGGCCATGCAACGCCTTTCCACAGCTTCCTCCATCGCGAGGTTCCCTTGGGCTTCCTGGACTGCTGCCAGCCGCAACCAGCCCGAACCCGAAGCCCCGGGTCCCTCTGGAAGTAAGGCTTTATGATTCGGGGTTTTGGGTTCAGGGCTTCGGGTTTGTGTTTTTGGGTTTGGGGTTTCGGGTTCAGGGCGTTGCGGGTCCCTAAACCCTAGACGAGGGTCTTGAGTCTAGGGCGTAAACGAAGGCGCTGGTGGGTCCGCTGGAAAGGCTCTGGGCCAAGCATGGACTGAACTTGGGCGTTGAATTCCTGTGCTCGCAAATCCGGCAGCCTGCGATATACACACGATGTGTATGAATATCGCCAGATCCCGTAGCTCTGTATCAACAGGCGTAGGGTCTAGGGAGAATTATACTGGAGAGAACCTGCAGCTGTGCTATATCCCCTAAACCCTACATCCTCTGGACAACCTTCCTTCGAGCAGATCCTTCTGAACCACAAACCCAGAGACTCCAATATCCCTTAATTAAGGAATATTAGGAATTTTCCTCAAATCATATCAGGGATCCCTCTATTTATTTAAGGTATATTCCTAAATTCATATTAGGGATCCTCTTATCATTTAAGGTACATAATCTTTACTTAAGGGGTCCTAGGAGTCTCTTCGAACCCCAAGCCCCAGGCCCGCGCCTCCAGCCCCCTAAAGACACACACACCAAAAACACCCCCAAAACTCCAAAGCCCCTTTTGTAAGGACCCTCAGAGAATCCTAACATCCTTCGGCTAAACCCGAAACTGTTCGCTTTGTAGAACCCTCACAGGACCCTAACAACAGTCTGCTAAACTCGAAACCGTTATAGCAACGCGTTTGGGCACCCTAGAAGCGGCCCCAAACCCGAAACCTAACAAACTTAAATAACCCATGACAACCTTAAGCCCCAAACCCTAAACATTACAAACAACCCATAACAACCTTAAGCCCTAAACCCTAAACTCTACAAACAACTCCAAACCGTGAAGCCTTCGAGGCTCGCCGGGCCAAAGCAGCCCCCAGCAGCGCTTCTTCCAGCAGCCGCAAGCAGCCCTGGAAGCGCTCTTCCCTGAGGCCACTTCTGGCATTATTGCTTTTATCGTAATGCAATAGTCAGAATTATAGGAGTATACATAATATGTATAACGATAATTCTGATTATTGTTGCTGGTGCAGGGCGAAAGGATTAGATTCAAGGGTGTGTGGTCTAGGGCTCAGGTAGTTTATTGTTTCGGGTGTAGGGCTTGTGGTATAGTAACTCAATTCCCCAAGCAATTTGCTGTAGGGTTTAGGGTTTAGGGTTTCTTGTTAATCTGACAGGGAAGGCTGACGCTTTTCGCGCAAACCCTAAAACCTAAACTGTTAGACATCGCAGAGTTGCTGGAAAAAGGGACCACCCCCGTTGAAAACAAAATGTCTAAACCCTAAACGTGCTTAGTAGCGGAGTGGATACACTTTACCTTTTTTTTGATAGTGCTACCCACTATAAAGCTACAAGTGTACGCTTTTTGGGGGCATATGAACTCAGCAACTAAGTGTGGGCTTGTGCTTCAGCGATGCTCAGCGGGTGACTTCCGAAGCATGGGGGCAAGAGAGAGAGAGAGAGAGAGAGAGAGAGGCGCGGGTTTCTTTCCAACTCCAGCCTCTTGTAAGGTGAACCCCAAAGCTTTTTGTTGCTTGTTAAGACCTTGATGTTACTAAGGCCCTTGAAGAAGATGTTGAGCATGAAGGCGCTTATACGATTAAGGCCCCTATAGAAGATTTGCTTATGCAGGCCCTTATACCCAGAGACTCCAATATCCTTAATTAGGAATATGCCTTAAAGTATAGTAGGATCCTTAATATGATTCAAGGCATGTTCCTGAATTAAGGGATTTTGGGGTCTCTGGATAACCTACACCCTAAACCCTAAACCCTAAAACCCATATGGGTGGTTGTCAAAGTTGTAGTCCCTTTTTGGGTACCCTAAATAATAGGTGCCGTACTATAATAGGGACCCAAAAAGGGACCCTAATTTTGACAACCACCCATATACCGTCCCAGCAGGCTATGCCCGTACCTGCGTCCGGGCCACTTCCGTCGGCGGGGGAGCCTCTTAGGCCCTGCCCCTTCGACTGCGAGGAGCTGGGTTCGGGTTTAGGTCTAGGGGTTAGCGGTCAGGGTTTAGGGGTTTAGGGCTTAGGGTTCAAGGGTTTTTGGGTTTAGGGTTTAGGGGTTTGGGGGTTTCCGCAGTTTTTGGGATTTCTGGGTTCTGTAAGGGTTCGGGTTCTGCAAGGGTTCAGGTATACGGTTTTGGTTTAGAGCTTTGGGGTCTACAGTTCGGGGCTGGATAGGTTTTATCAGGATGTGTCAGAGCCACCGACCCAGATTCAGAGCTTACGGTAAACGGTTTAGGGATTAAGGACTCAGGGGTTTCAGGTTGAGAAACGGGTCGCTGAACTTGGGATTTACCCTAGAGGTGAGCCAGAGCAGTATGATTCCTCCGTAGCCCTTCTGATTCTGTGGTTGTAGTGGTTTTCCTAAACCCTAAACCCTAAGCCGTATCTTCGATGCTTAATTCACGTAGAAAGTACCCTGGGGCCTGTCTAGAATTCTGTAAGCCTCATCTCCAGAATTGCCGGGTTCCAGGATGCCGGATTGAAAATACTCTTAAGGGCCCGACAAGCTTCAACCGCAAAGCTTAGGGCTTAGCATGCAGTTTTTCTTTTTTTTTTTGCGGATGTCTCGAAACTCGAAAGCCCAGCACCTCAACTACCAAAAGCCCAGACTCCAAACCCCAAACCCTAAACCGAACCTCAAAGCCCCAAATCCTTTCTAGTAGCCCTGCTACTATGACTTCCCTTGTAGGAACCCCCAAAGTGAGGCAGCCCCCTACACCCTAAACCCTGAACCCAAGGCCCGAAACCACCGAGCCCTCGAAATTCCGAGGTCTGCGTGAACTCTTCGCTCTCAAGCCGAGGCCGCTTCCAGAGGCTCCTCGGAATTGTCAGGGCTGCACCTCACATGAGGTTGGGCTTCAGGTTTAGGGTTTAAAGTTTGTTTAGGTTTCTTTGAGTGATGGCAGAAGTCGTCGAGCGCGCTCGCATGCAGAAAGTCCGAGAAGAAACGGTTTAGGGTTTAGGGTTTGGGGTGAAGCCACTGAAACGGCAAATATGTGCCTAGCACGTACGCTCTCGGCCTTGGAGGCACTGTCCCAGGGGTCGCTCCTCGCTGTGCCGGCTATGGTTGGACTCGGAACCCTCTCCGGTACAGATTTTCCGAAACCCTAAACACAGGAACACTCCAAACCTGAAACCCTAAACCCTACTTGGAGGTTCATGGGTAGTTATAAGTAGGGTTATAGGTAGGAGAACTATGGTTAGAACCCATATTAGGGGACGTACAACCCAACTTATAACTACCCATGAGCCTCCAAGTAAACCCTAAACCCCCGCCGTTGGACGATCTGGAAGATCTGGGACCCCTTCTGCCACAACGAATGGGTTGTCTTTGTTTGCATTGTTTAGGGTTTAGGGTTTAGGTAGGGTGCCTAACGGGGGGGGAGTCTCCAAAGACATATTGGCGAGTTGATTTTGGGGGTCTTCCTGTCGGGATACTAGAAACCACACTTCACATCAATGTTGCCTAAGCCTGTAGGGACCCTTAGGGGGGTAGGGTGGAGGGGGGGTAGGGGACTATATTTCTTGAAATAGGCCTCATTAGGTCTTTATTATGGGCATGAAGGCCCCCTACCCCTCCCTTACCCCTATAAGGTCCCGATGATAAACCCTACAGTAGAAGCCAGAAAGTTGGAGCACTATAATCCTCATGCCCTTAAGGTGAAGTATAGGGTAATCCCAGCACTATCCATCCTAAATCTATGTTCCAACTTTCTGGAATTCACTGTAACTAAGCTCTGCTTCACATCAGTGTCCTCCTCGGAGGTCTTCGTTGTTTGGGCCTCTCTCCTGACAAAGGAGGCCAGAAAGGTTTGCAATTTCGGCCACGTGATGTACTGGGGTAGAGGTTTAAGGTTTGGGGTTCAGGGTTTAGGATTTTGCCAAGGTTTGGGGTTTAGGATTTAGGGTATACGGTTTGGGGTTGAGGGTTTGGAACAAGTAGTATATAAAGGTATTCCTCACGGCTCCCAGGAAAACATGTCAAGACCCCCTTCTAGCTACTAAGGCCTCCGAAACCTCCGCAAACGGCAACCCTTCAACGTAAACAGGAAGGCGCAAAGCAGTGGCTGCAGCTGAACCACTATGAGCGTGAGGTGGAGATAGAGGCTGGAAAAAGCTCACTGGGGTTTCATGCAGGAGCTCGTTATGGTTTTTCGTCTCGAATTTAGGGTTCAGGGTGTAGGGGTCTTTAGGATGCAGGATGCAGGGGTCGAGGGTTCAGGGGGCATGCTCAGGGTTGAGTCTTAGGGGCTGCAGGGCTTTTTTGGAGTTTCTGCTTTGTGAGCCGTACAGCCATAATCGAACCTGCCCTAAACCCGCAACCATCCATATCCCTAAACTTGCAAGTTCAAATCCAAGCAACTTCCAGAAGTGCCGAAGCTCCAACCGAAACTATAGAGGCAAACAGCTCAACACGACGGCCCAAGGCCTACACCCTACAACAAACTCGTATACCATGCCACTGACAGCCTCAATTCGTAATACGAAGGTAGCCACAAGTTACTGAGGCAACGAACATTGCTTCGACTGTGCAACAAACATTGGAAAACCCGACAACCAGCATGCCCCAAACAAGGCTGCAGTGCTAAACCCAACCCTAAAGCCCTGAACCCAAAACCCAAACCTCAGAACGAACCTCTTATGGATCCGTGGTTGGAAAACATCCCCTAAACCCTAAACCCCTACACCCTAAACCCCGAAACCCTAAACCCTAAACCCAATGTAAAACCGTACAGACCTAAAGACCCTCGAAGCCTTTTGAGGATGGAATCTGGTCGGAGGGTCCCTACGGTGTCGAGCTCTGGCCCCGCTTCGAAATCTACCGCGCGGGGAAAAAACAGAGGGCCTGCGTCGTGGAGAGGGGGGTTTAACCTAGATTCCCAATACCCAACCTTTAAACTTTTTGGGTTCTTGTAGTTTAGTAGGAATCGGGAAGTTTAACCCCAACCCTAATTCCACTCAACCCTGAACTCAAAATCCTGAACCCTGAAACCTAACCCTTCCAATCTTTAAGCCCAAAGCCCAAAACCCCTACAACCCCTACTCTCTAAACCCCTAAGCGGCAAAGGTCTTGAGAGGTTTGGGGATTTAGCGCCCAGAGGGTTTACTGACGTTTCCGGTTTTCGGGGTCGCTTTGGTCCAGGCTCTGAGGGTTTAGGTTTCAGGGTCTGGGAGTTCTAGTGGTTCAGGGCCTAGCACTTGGGCTTGGGGGTTTAGGGGCTTAGGGTTTAGGGTTTCCAAACCGGTTTCTTTGGCATCTTCGCTTGATCCCCTCAAAGCATGAAGCCCTGGCTCTTGAAAGGTTTAGGGCTTGGAAGTTAGGCTTTAACGGCGTTAGGGTTCAGGGTGCTGGGTTGGGGGCTTAGGGGCTTCCGCAAGGATGCTCAGGATGTTGGCTTCGGGAACGAGTACTATGAAAGTGAGATGCTTGTTTCGAACGAAGGTGTATGTCAGTCTAGTGATGTTCACTTTGATTGACACCAGTGCAAGCCATTAATTTGCTGTCACTGTTCATGCCCGTACCGCGATACTGGTAGTGTAGGCTTGACTCTTGACCCCACATTATCCAACCAGGGCATAGACCGATTTACGGATGAATATCGGCTGATGTACTCCTTTCCCTTGGATACTGCCCCCACTCAGTAACAGTTGGATAATATTCATTAGTAGCTCTATCATGGACTGCTACTGTATGGCGGCAGTATCTAACCTTGACCTTTGTTCCACTTCTGCTGATATCAGAGGTTTGTTGTTCCTGGGATGCCCATGGAAGCCCTAGCAGTAGAGTAGGTAGCCTTCAACCTTTTTATTGGGTAGTATAGTCCTGATATAACCCCTAAATAACCAAAAAGGTTAACCTTTAGTTCCCATGATACCCGACAAGTGGGCTAAACCCTAATCCCTAAACCCCTAAACCCCTAACCCCTAAACCCCTAACCCCTGAACCCCTAAACCCTAAACCCCTAAACCCCTGATGAGGCTTTTCACTGTTCCCAAGGACTTTTTGCCCTGAGTTTTACGGTCTGGGAAGCCCAAAGCCTCCTCAACCCCTAAAAAATTTTAAACCCCTTCCAAGTAAGCCTCTAAACCCCTATAGATCCCTTAACGGAACCTTTATACTACCCTTTACAGGAACCCTAAACCCCTAAAGCCCTACTAGAACCTCAGCCTCAAGTTGCCCTTATGTGAGTTTCCTAAAATGCGGGACCCTAATATAGTACCCAAAATAGTAGGACCCTTATTCTAAATAAGGTACCCCGAATTTTCGGAAACTCCCTTATGGTCCAGGGCCGTTTGAGCCTTGGCTCCAAGGGTAATAGGAGGGACCCTTAATAAGGACCCCTAGGTATATACCCTTAATATAGCTACTATATACCCATTTTGTACAGGGTAGGGGTCCCCATTAAGGGTCCCTCCTTTTCCCCTTTGGTTGGCTCTTTTTCAGCCTTCCTCTTCGGACGGAAGTCCTGACACCCGCTGTCTCTTGGGGCTCAAGCCATCGGAAGATGGCCGAGACCGTCTTATCATTCATATCGCAACATCTTCGCATGTGAAAATGACGTCCTTCATGATGCAGAGGTGGGGTGGCCCAGGTTTGGGAATGTTGTCTGCGATTGAGCGAAGCGGGATGTTTTGGGTCGGGGTTCGGTGTCCTCTTTGCAGGTGCCTAGACAACGCGAAGGCGTAACAACCTCAAGACCCTCAACCTTCTACCTTCAGCCTGAAACCCATGCCGTAAAGAAGTCTGAGCCCAGACAAAACCAAAGGCAACACCCCGGCAAAAACCGCACATACCCTTCCTTGACCTTCCAAACCCTCAGCCCCTTGACTAAGCTGCGACGCTCTAGTGCACCGAATGCCCAAGCCCACACACCCAAATTCGAGGTCCCCCAAACCCTAAACTCCTAAACCTTGAACCCTAAACCCTAAACCCTAAACCCCAAACCCCTAAACCCTAAACCCCAAACCCCAAACCCCTAAACCTTAAACCCCTAAAGTAACTAACAACCTCTCAACTTCGGGCCATATGCCCAAGACTGTGTGCAACAATTCCTACACCCTAGACCCCCAAACCTATATAAACTGTAAACCTGCTTTCAAAACCCCTTGCTTCCCCAAGCCCAAAGCCCTAAAGCCTTAAACCCGACAACCCCAAACCCCAAACCCCTCTAAAAGACAACCCATAAATCTCTAACCCTAAATCCTAAGCCTTAAACCCTCCTGGAGAAAGGGAGCGACAAAAAAAACCTTAAACCCTCAACAGCTCAAGGAAGATTCCACAAGCCAGTGGGCCCTGCGAGGGTCGAGCCGTGGCCTCGGATTCTCGGTCGTAAATCAAGGCCTGTACTGCAAGGTTTAGGGTTTAGGGTTAGAATGGGGTTTGAGGGTATGTTATACCAGAATCATAATAAGTAGACACAAAACCCTCTTCGAATTATTAAGGCCTCACTTAGGTCTCTAGGGTTTAGGGTTCAGGGTTTGGGGGTTTACTGCCCAGGCGTTTTGAGTTTAGGTTCACGATTGACATGGAAGTCCCCAGCGGTAAGCGCGTGAGACAACCACAGACTTTGCATGCAGTTTGGGAGGCTTCTAGAACTCATCCATCACCAGACGTAGTATGTTTGCAGCAGAAATTTTGGCTTGTCGATCTTGTTGCAGCTCACATCGAAGATTGTTACGACAGTCCAGGGTTGTTTGGGGGCAGAGAGACATAGCTTTGCGGGCTTGTTCATCTGCAATATTGTTGTGGTAAATACACCAAAGATCAAAGGCATTGCAAGCTTCATAGACCTGTCTGTGCGCTTTGACCCACTGTATGGAAACATCCTGTGCTGATCTCCCCGACAAGAGGGTTGCTGCTGTCTTCAGTAGGTCCTTGTCCGCATGTGAGGCCCACTTAAGAGGCTGATAGCCCCATTGCTGAATATGTATAATATCCTTAACAACAGCAGCGTTGTCGCAGAAGATTCTTGCTTTGACCTTTGTAGCCAGCACCACCACAACCGCAAAAAGCTCCGCCCGAAAGACTGTTTGGAGACGGCCCGGCAGGACACCTGCAGCTATCAAACGGTTTTCTTTGGTAAAAGGTTTCGCCTGTGTGACCGACCAGGAACATAACCTTGTAAGCTGGCACGAGGACTCAGTGGCTGACCCATCCGTGAAGAAATCACATCCATCTTGCATGTCATCTGGAACACCAACTTCTGGGGCCGGCAAAGCATCAAGTTCATCTTTGTATTTCTGGAGCAAAGGCAATTTCGGCGACAACCCACCAAGGACAGCATATTTGGGCTGCATGGATACCTGATTCCATTCTTCCATTTGTCGGATATGTTCCGTACCCGGGCAGGAATATACCCGATGTTCCATTGTATCCAAGCTTCCACAGAAATGGCATGTCGCTTCATCCTTGGTAACATGGCACTTACGGTTATTCGGAAACAAACCTCCAAGGCGCACTTTCTTCAGGAAACCTTGTATCATTGGATCCTCATGTTTGATCGCTTGAGTTCTCTCCAAGGAAAAAGAGTCAAGGTCACTCAAGTTCATCTTCTGGTTGAGCTGTTGCAAAAGGGAGTCCTCCCAAGAGGCAATAAATACATCCTGAAACTGGGCCGCAGAAATATCCCAAATAGTGAAAGTAAACCCTGACGTGGTCGTACAGGTTCCATTGTCTTGTAATTCCCATCCCATTGTATGCAACTGATTCTGGAGAATCGACACAGGTCCCTTCGTCCGTTTCTTGAAGAAGGATCGTGACTGAATCGAAAGTTTCCAATTGTTCTTGATCATGTCCTGCTCCAAAGCCATCGCCCGAAGAAACAGGGCGAACCTCCTTTTTGCCACATATATCATGGGCTCGTAGTTGGATCCTGAAAAGAGGGGCGTCAGGTAGTGCAGATGGTACTGTTTCTTTCCCCACACTGTGTGGTTGCACTTAGATCTGATATCTCTGAGGTAGTCTTTTCCAAGAAAGAAGTTCTCCACTCCATAAAAGATCAATGGCATAATACCACGGAGGATGACATCCGTCTTGCGCTGTTGAGACCATGGCATATATTGAAGTTTTTCCAAAAGGACTCTGGCACGCTCCCATCTTTCATTTCTGGTGACCACAGAGGCCTGCTTGGCTGTTTGAAAGTTGACGCCCAGACCAGCAAAGTTCCGAGACGATGCCATATTAACTCCCGAGTTTGCCATCAATCCGTGTAATTGTCTGGTAAGTTTGTTGGAAGTTGCAAACACCGCAGATTTACTTGTAGACAGTAGGAGCCCAAACTTCTTCGCCATCCTTTCCATGATGATCATTGAGTCCCGAAGCTGGTGCAGGTGTTCCGAGAGGAGAATCCAATCATCCACGTAAGTGTAAAGGGGGACTTGCGTCTGGTGACATAAGTAGTTGGTAAAGGTCCAAGTGAGGACAATCATTTGTACCACTGCAATTGGACATCCCTCTGGTACACCAGTTGATGAAAAAATGGGCTCACCCCAAGCTTTTCCTGTAGTGAAAAATCTTTCCAGCCCCTGTAAAAAGGGATTGTATGACTGCCACATCTGTTGAAGACCCAATCGCCGATTGATATGCTCAAGGATCTGTCGCGGCAGAGTGTTGTATGCCTTCGAGAAATCAAGGGAGATTCCTGCCAATGGTTTGTCTTGTAACAGCGCCTGTTCCAGTTGTCCTTGCACCACCGAAACCATATCGCTTGCAGCTCTCCCCGGCACCGATCCAAACAAAGTTTTTGGCAGGGAGGGGACAATGTGTTTGAGCATCTTTCTGGTAATAATCTTCGCCCAAATTCTGTAAACTGTGGCCAAGATTGTAATAGGCCGGGTTGTGGCCATGTCTCCAATGGTCTGCGTCTTATACAGTAGGGCCATCCGGGCTTGTCGAACATTCTTTGGCCAGAGACCTTTATTGAATAGGGCCATGATTCGCAACAGGTAGGGTCTCAATGTTCGGGGCAGATTCTTCATCTCATAGTTGGAAAAACCATCCATGCCTCGGGCTTTCTTGGGGCATAAAGTTTTTAGTGCCCATTCCAAGTCGTCTTGATTCATGGAAATATCCAGTTCAGGAAGTTGTGGCAAAGTTTGAATCGCCTGTTGTACTTCAAGGTCACTTGCATCCACCGGGTTGTCTGGCTTCCAATAAGCACTCCAATAATCACAGGCTGCATTGAGGATCTGTTGAGGGTGTGCCGTCGGTCGGAACTGCGAAATACTTCCCGAAATAAAGCATCCTTTGGTGTTGCTGATGTGGACACTCCCATTTCGGATACACTGTACCTGAGCTTCTGCTTTTCCCTGTTTCCAAATGGAACCCACCATCACCATCTGAAGGTCATCATCCAATAAGGTGCATATCTGTGATCCTTTTTGGCGCGATCGCCGGGTAAGGATCCTGTGGTCAGATACCACATTGAGCGAATCCACTTTGGGTGCTCCTGCCGGCTTGATAGCACTGTAATGCTTGGGCCCTCCAACTTTCCAGTCCTCACTGAAAACCGACGAAAGTAAGGAATTACGTTCATGACGGAGTTTGCTCCTCCAATGTGGCTCATCACTTTTGAGTGCCTCAAGCATAAATCGTGCCACGTGAGACTCTGGGGGTCCTTGTGGGAACCATTGTTCATGCTCTGCATACCACCATTCACGAAAGCATGGCGAAAAGCCCGCCGCATTGCAAATGGCGGTCCAGGTCTGTCTGGAGGCAAGTGTCGCCCTTTGTTTTGCTTCTTGGTCGGCAGCCCTACTGGCTGCACCCACTTGTCCCAGGAAAGCCTGAAAACGTCTGATCTGTCGGATCCTTTGTCGTAGCTGCAGGGTGGAGTCGTCACCCGAAGGTTGGAATTCCCCCTGCCTTGCCATCTTGGGTGGATCCTGGCACATCTTCTGCTTAAGGAAGACCGCTCTTCCCCGACCATAGAAGTTCTTCCCAGGTTTGCTGTGCCCTTTGCTTTCCACTGAAAAGGAGACCGCGTCCTCAAAGGCCTTGCTGAAGGAGATCCACGCCTCTTCCACATCTTCCTGCAACAGTGCTCGGTGAATCTTGTCGATGTGCTTGGCCGGAACATAGGCTTCCTGTAATTCAGTGGCAGTGAGGCCAGAAGAAGACGAATCCTTGGGGCTTCTGCAGGTGTGAATATATTGCGGTATGTTGTCCCACTGAAAGGTCGCATGTACTGCCTTGTGGTCACTCTCTGCCTCTGCAGAGACACCGAAAAACTTGAAAGCTGGAAGCGCGAGGTCGTTGAGGAGCACGTAGTCCAATCTCGAAGTTTCCTGAAAAGTGTTCTGCATTGGCATACCATCCCGTTGACTTTGGAGGGCAGCTGCATCTGTCCAGCCAGCTTGCTTCATAGCATCCCAAGCCACCATTGTATCAATATCACAGTTGAGGTCACCCATGATAAGAGCAGGGCATCTGACCAGGGATGCTTTGTGGGCAGCAGCTCGAAGAAGTTCCTCGTTTTTGGCTGCCGCGTCCTGAAGTCCCTGGTGGTATCCGTAAAGAGCAATCACAAGAACAAGGCTGCCACCAAGCACCAGAAAGGTGTCAGCCACTCTGGCTGATTCCCAAATATTGTCAGGCCATTTGGAAAAGCTGGCGCGAAGCGGTACTGTGGAAACCACAGCCGCACCTTTCGCCTCTCCCTTGGTGACACATTCCCGATGGTCAGTGAAGACTCTTTTACCTGCCGGTTTGCTGAAAACTGCATGGCGGCCAGCTTTCCTCACAGCCTTGAGGGTCTTCTGCTGGACGTAGGTGGTCGCTGCAGTCTCTGTAAAAACCAAAACATCTGCATGATTGGAGGTCACCCTGCCATCTTCCACAAAAGCATTCAATGATTGGGCATTGACAGCCGAGAAAGTGGTAGTCATCGACGGTCCAGGGTTGCTCGCTTCTCCCACTCTGGTGGCCATGTACCATGGCCTTGGCAGCAAAATGCCGCTCTCAATAAAAGGCTCCCACAAAAAACTCCACGAATTCACTGAATTGAATTTCTCATTATCCCACCATTGGCTTTTTCCAGCTTGGCTGCCTTCATCCACGCCAAAGTAGGTTTGCACTTCGTTGCCCAGTCGGTTGTTGTTGCCAGGCTTGGTTGCACAACCACCCAGAAGATCATCCAGGTGAATTATTCTTTGCTTCTTTTGTCACTGCTTGGGCTTCTTCGCCTCCTCCTCCTTGGTCTTTGGAGAGGGCGTACGCTTTCTCATAGCTCCCATTTGGGTTCTCATTTCGCCCATGAGCTCATCCTTCAGGTTGATCTGAGCCGTCTTCATGTCATTGGCCATCTCGCTTCGCTGGGCTGCCATAGCCGTTGTAATGCACTGCGTGAGTTCCTGGGAGAGGGAGGTCGTCAGGGACTGGATGCTTCCTTGGACCCTCTCGTTGATCCCTTGCTGCTCCTTTTGCTGCGTGATGACCTCCTTCTTGAAATTCATAAAGTCCTGTCGTAGGAGCTTGGTAGTGGCCATGGACTCCTGGTGCATCTGGTCCATCTTCTTCTGGATTCTATCTTCAAGGTCCGTGGCATCGACGTCCATTGTCAACTGGTTTTGACCCTGGTTGTTGTGCTTCTGGAGGAAGTCGGTAGGTGTAGTCGATGCTCCAGCAACCCACCAAGGCCTGCCTTTGGAGGCACTCTTGCCCTCTGTCTTGCCTTTGCCCATGCCTTTGTTTGTCTTTTCTGCCACCAGTACTGTCCCATGTGCTGCCAGATGAACCAGTTTTTCTGGCTTGGTCGCTGTACCAATCAGCCAGGTTCTCGGCTTCGTCTGTTTGAGAGCCAAGGCTTCCCAGTTGATCTGGTTCAGGAACTTCTGCACCTCGGCCTTGGTACAGCACAAAGGCATATTCTGTAGTTCGTAGTACATCTTGACCTGTAGGTTGTAGGGGGTGTTCTCCATGGGTTTCCAAGTTGGCTGCCACTTCTGCTTGAGCTTCGTGTAGTCATTGGATCTGACTCGGATTCCATGGCCTCCCTTGTTCCTGACAATGCCAAAGGCTTGCTGCTCCATGTTCGCCTTGAGGGCGATTTCTTGCAGAGGGAGGTCATTGAACCAGATGACCTTGAAGTCAGGGTCCAGAGCTCCAGCATCGTTCCTTGGAGAGAAATAGACACCAGGGATCACCATCTTGAGCAGGGCCTCGACCATTTCCCTCTTGATTCTCATGAGGAAGTAACAGGTGTGTGCCGCCTTGCCGTCTGGGGTCTGCTTGTTCTTGAGAAAGAACTTGCGAGCCCATGTACCAATAAGCCCCTGTTCCAGGCATTGGACATGCTTTTTGAGGTACTTGATTGGTCCTTCCTGAAAGGCTTCCCAGTCCTCCATCTCATCATGTACTGCTTCACAGGCAACCACAACAGCATCGATCTCATCCACTGTGAGAACTTTTCCTTCATCCTGGAGGGAGATTTGTTTGGCACCTAGGTTGAGGAGCTGGGCTTTAACCAAAATCCTGTCGTTGTCCTTGCTTCTGCACGGGGTCTCCACGTCCTTGATGTTGAAACAGCCCGGGTTTTGGATACTGGATCCAACCACCAGGGCAGCAAGCTCGTGACTGCTCATCACTTCTTGGCTTTGTGTCAAAAGCTCCGCTTCGCGCTCATTCACGATCGCTATGCCTCTGGCACCGTGGGTCACTTTGTCAAGTGATGGTGGCGCTGTGCCATCTTCCATCTTGAAGAAGGAGGTCTCTAGCTTCCACATCCCACGCTCACGAAGTGCTTGTCGCCACGGGTCGTTTGCTTGCATAGGATCAACTTGGTCATCAGGCTGAATAGGTTTGGCCTTTGGTTTGGCCTTCACTTCTGCCTCTTTGATGAGGCGAGTAGGGACCTTGGCCTTCAAATGCGACCATGGGTCCCAGGAGCTGTACGCTTCTTTGATGCCGGCGTCTCCGATGTGGCTGCGGATTTCTTGAATTCTGCTGTCGAGGTTCTCGTCCGGCACACCTTTGGAAGAAAGCATCGTTCGAAGCTTTTGTACTGCCTGACCTGTACCTCCTCGGAGACGGCCTCGGACGATGACCGTGGCTCCAATAGGAACTTGGCTGCATCCAGTGTCATGGCTGAGGACCTTGGTGCCGAGGGTGAAGTAGATCATGTGGGCTTGGACACCCCACTCATCCTCAGCGATTCGTCCCAAAGTTCTGGCATCACTGTTCCGGAAGCATGCCAGCTGATGTTGGAAGGACATGTAGATGGCATTCACCATGGATGGCTGGCTTGGTAGGGAAGCATAGTTGATCGTGAGCGCCGGTCCCTCTGTCTGGCAGAGGCGGTTCAGATCTCTGGATTCCTGGGTGCATCTCCTCTTGGTAGCTGAGCCATCTGGTCTGGAGTCATGGTCCGTTGTCCCCGCGGAGAAGCTGACCTCATAGGGGACAGTAGGCGGGATGGAGTCTCGTTCTTGTCCATCGTCATCTGAGTTGTCGTCCTCCGTGTTCCCTGTGTTTCCTGTCCCGGTCGGGTGGTCTCCATCCGCATCGGGGTCCTCTGTGGGGCCACCTGGGCTGCTCTCAGCCTCCTCGTTTGCCGGCGACCGCGGCGGCTTGTGGCTTTGGTTGTCGATCTTCTTGAAAACATCAAGCTCTTTCCAGGACTCATCTGCCGAATAGCCATCCCATCGAAGTCGTAGGAAGTCTCCTGACACCAATGAAATGGGCCAATGGTATACCTCTTGATCGTTGAGTGTAACAAAGTCCGGCAGGGAGGTGTGGTGGTCCGCAAAGGTTGTGTGCAGGTCCTTCTTGTCAATCTGGCTCGACAGCCAGTGTGCAGTAGGCACTGCAGGGTCAACCAGGACTAAGACTTTGTCCCAATAAGCTTCCAAGATCTCTCCTGCAACAATCCAATGCTGTGTCTCATGGCTTGGCTGGGCCATCTTGGTCACTGCCACCTTGTCCGTGGGGAGAAGCATGAACTCGGCAATCTTGGCATTGACCTGTGTCACGGAGTCTTCCTCATCCAGGATGATTGTCGAGTATCCATGGTCGACTTGGAAAAGCCTGTACTCCTTGGGGTCTGGCTCCGTCTTGTCTTCAGGCAGGTCATTGTAGAGCACCCGGGAGGATTCTGGTAGGAGTGGTCCCTGTCTTCCCTGTGATTTGCCAAACATGAGGTGCTTGAGCTGGGTGTGGCTTGCCCTGAGGCGGTCTTCCAGAAATGCATGGTCGGCTGGTGTCTCCACATCCCATCGTATCAGCATAGACCACCCCGACATGAAAATTGTCTTCGATCTTGCAAAGGGAATCCATGTCTGCATCAACTCCTGAAGCCCCTGATCCAGATACCTGATCATATCTTCATTGTCCAGTGTGTTTTCAGCACGGTGGCCGATCACAGAGGCCAGCATGACCATAGCTTGGGCAGGTGTAAGGGCCTGTCCCAGGAGGATGTGGGCATCGTCCTCATTGTCTGGCATGATTGTCTTGCCTGAGAGGCCAAATGCTTTGAGCAGTTCCCATCTGGACAGCATCCTGATGTCGGCTCCTTGGAAAACCAGGGGGAGATGCAGGCCCTTCTTCTTGAGGGTCACCCACGGTGTGTTGAGGATCGCTCTGTAGTTTCCCAGTAGTGGTGGCATCGGCTTGGCCTGGTCCACGATCCGTATGTGCAGGGGTGATCCTGGGATGTTCTGCTGGTACTTCGGCAAGAGCTCCCGGCTGGTGACTTTGCTGATGTCAACCGGTCGAAGTTTGACCGTGGATAAGGTCTCTCCCGGCATGCCGTGCCACAGGGCTTCATGGCACTGCTTTGGTTCTCTTGGTCCCAGGTTCATAAGGTGGAAGGGCTTGCAAAGTGAAGCTCCATCTGCAGTGTTCCAGCATACCATGAAGAATCGCTTTCTTTCCACTGGTACAAGTTTTTGAGCATCCAGAAAGCCATGCCATATTGTAGTGTAACCAGCCCACCTCATAATCCGGATGATGAGCTCGAGGTCTTCATGGGTAGCAAGGGCAGGCAATGCTTCGATGATAAAGGCTCTCCTCTGGGTGAGCCTGGCCACCACAAAGAGTTGCATCCATCCAACTGAAGCTTTCCCATCCTTGAGGCCTGCACCATCGCCTGTGGCCCGGTAGCCCATAGACGGTGGCGAAGCGCAAGCAATCTCCACATTCTTGTCATGTAGTGCCTTGGTCCAGCGGAGGTCTAGCACCTCTCCCCAAAACAAGGGGAAATCCGTCTGGCTGTCGTCCATGGCGTGGAGCACTGCATCCTTGTCATTGAGGAGGATGGAAGCAATAGCCATCCCATCATTGTCAACCCGAAGCATACTGGCCATGGGTAGCATAGTGCTGGCAACCGTCCACGGCTGGAAGCCACCACTGAACAGTTCCATCATAGAAACTATCGCATCTTCCTTGCTTGGTAGGAGAATCGACGCCGTCTTTTCAGAACAAGGGGGAAATCTCATGGAGCGCTCCCGCTGGAGGTTCAGCAGGACCTTGGCCCCGACCAACATATACACTTCACCCACTCGGAGTCTCCTTCCAAAGCTCGTGGCATCGAAGGGCATCTCCTCTGCAGTTTTAACTGGTTGGCGGCATAGGGGCACATTTTCCATGTCATTGGACAGTCGCAAATCGACCATCTGCACCGTTCCGTGGTGCGTGGTGTGCAGTTCTTTCACCTGAACTACGGTCGTGAAGCTATAGTTCAGCTGAATGTCCTCAACTTCACGCGATACTATCCATCCTAAGTTCCGAAGGCTCTCCAGTCTTTCCTGCAGGGTGGCACCTGCAGCATTTCCCAAAAAGGCATCCATTGCTCAGCTTTAGTAGGCTAGGAGCACCCTAGCCTTCCAGCTTCGCCGCTGGGAGGCCCTGAGCAGAGAAGCTCGTTTTGAGTTTAGGGTTGAGGGTTGCGGGTGCATAGAGTTTATAGAGCTTGTTTGGCTTTCGTAGCGTAGTATTGAGGTTTGCCAGAGCTTGGTAGGGTCGGGTTCTGCAAGGTTGCCGCAGCGGTTTACAAGGGTGGTAAGTACAGGAGCCTGGCTTTCCAGGGCGTGTAAGTGGTTTCATAGGGGCATGAGGTCTCGCAAGGGGGCTGCATAGGGTCATTGTGGGGTTTCGATTTCAGGTGCTTCGGATGCCGCCATGGGGCTTTAGATCAGTTGTGCTGTCTCGAGTCTGAGGTTTCTTAGGCGTTTGGGGATTTTCATTGTCGGGGTCAGAGATGGTGGCTTCCGGGTTTGGGGTTTAGGGATTTGGGATTTGGGCTTTCCGCTTAGATTTTGTCGGGTCTATAACTTGTGGCTGGAGCCTTCAAAGTGGTGGATGTAGCTTCAGTGCTACGCTCAGTAGACGCATGTCCTCAGCGCTTCCCAGAGACTCCAATATCCCTTAATTAAGGACTATTCCATAGTAGGATCTCTAATATGATTTAAGGTATAATCCTTAATGAAGGGATATTGGAGTCTCTGGGTTCATTGCTTTGTTCAAAGCTCAGGCCCTGTACGGCAACGAGGCCTTTGCTGCTTTGGGGATTCGCGTGCAGTAGTAAGTAGGGTTTATGCGTTTTTTTGTTCTACAGGGTTGCTTTAAGGGCGTAAATCTTTGTAATAGCGGCTTCCTGGGTGAATAGACAGAATAGTGAGAGGTAATAGGGAATCGTATGCAATGATACTGGGTTTTCTTGAGGGATTTAATCTAAGTTACCATGTTTAGGGAAACCGTCTTATTGAGTATAGATCCCTGTTATGGCAACTTAAAAACTATATATATACCTTAACAAGAAGCCAGGATATGATCCCTCTCCTCAAACCTTTTTAGTGGCGGCTTTTTTGTTGAGTCAGGGCTCTGGTTCGTTTCGAGGGCGCCCCTAGGGCTCTGGGATCTCTAGGGTTTCAACATGCGCAGGCAAAGACTTACACGTCGGACGCCACTTGCGCAGAGGGGCATGCGGATGGGCGCCCAAAAAGTTGTGATGCACTTTTTGCATCCCTTTCTCCCGCCTGCAATTCTTGCATTGCTTCTCGCTTCACGATGGTAGGGCTCTTGACCCTGAACTTCAGCCCTAAACCTCAAAACTCCGCAACCTTAATCTCCAAGTTACCAGAGCAGGGGAGCCATCTTAGTTGCTGTAGATTGGGTACGGCCTCCATACAGTAAGAGTTTATACCAGGGCTACTATTGAGGTCCTAAGAAGTCTATATTATGAATGTTCTTCAACAATGACTGAGTGGGGGCCGTACCTAACCTAAACCCTGAACCCCAAAACCCCTGTGGTGGTGAATCCCTGCAGAAAAGCCGGTCTCCCGACCCACTCTAACCTTCGGGACATTCGGAAAAGAGGGTTCAAACAAAAAAAAGCCCTAAACCCTAAACCCCAAAGATCCCTTATGGATCCCTCAAAGGAACCCTATAACTATAAATCCCTTTAAGGAAGCTATAGATCCCTATTTTGGTAACTTAACCTAAGTCCCTTAACAGGAACCCAAGGTCCTCCCCAACCCTAAACCCGACACTCCCCTAAACCCTAAGAACCCAGCCCGTTAAGTAAGGACTATACCTAAAACCATATTAAGGGGTCCTGCTATAATTTAAGGCATATTCCTTAGTTGAGGGATATTGGAGGCTCTGGGAATTGAATGATCTGCAACTCCCCCAAGCTTTGCTTGCGCCAAACCCTAAACCCTAAACCCTAAGCCCCTAAGCCCTAAAGCCTAAACCCCTATATACACCCTCAACCCCTAAACCTTATACCCTAAACCCTAAACCCCACCCTAAACCCTAAACCCCCGCCTCAGGCCTCGCAACCTCTGTATGCCCAGGCCCCAGCCCGGTCGTAGGCTGCCTCGGGGCAGGTGATCAGTAGGTCAGGTTTTAGGCTTTAGAGTTTGGGGTTTCGGGTTTAGGGTTTAGAGTTTGGGATTTAGGGTATGTTTAGGGTTTAGAGTTTGGGGTTTAGGGTTTAGGGGTTTAGGGTATCTCCACTATAGTGCGGATAAAAGATCATGCAATGTCCACGAAAACTCCTGCAAACTCTACATACTTGCAACCCTCAACTCTGCACCCTACAAACCCTGCAAGCTTACAAACCAGAAAGAGTTGAGGCCCAAGACTCCCTGAAAGCCTTATCCGGATTTGATTTAGGGTTTAGGGCTAGGCTTAGTGCAGCCCCAAATGGGAGTTTCCGAAAATAGGGGACCCTAATATAGTGCCCTAAATAATAGGATCCTTATTCTAAGGACCCCAAAACAAGGTACCCCCTATTTATCGGAAACTCCCTTGTAAAGACCCGTAGAAGCCCTTTTGAGAACCCTGCAGCACCCCATAAAGCCATCCGCCAGAAGCCCAGGATCAAAGTGTGCTCATGAAGGCTCTCACGCTATATGCAGCTCGGCTTTCTCAGAGTTTTGGGGCTTCGGGTTTCGGGGTTTTGGGGTCTCGGGTTCGGGGTTCAGGGTTTCGGGTGTCGGGGTTTCTTATTCACGTCTCCCAAACGCGAGGGTTTTTCTTACAGCGGTCTCCCAAACTGGGGAGGCCCTTTCCTGGGGTCCTTGGAGACAATGATCTCAATGTTCAGGGCTCTATGTCAGGATAGTTTAGGCACGTTTAGGGTTTAGGGTTTAGGATAGTTTAGGGTTTGCGGCTCATGTGCTATGTCGCTGCAAAGCTTCGGAAGAAAGGGGTGAGATGGTTTGTCCCTTGGCTATGATTTGACAGCGGACAGGGTCGGAACTGCAGTTTCACATGGGATACCGTGCGAGATCAAAGCAGGAGGCTTGCTGATTGTTTGCGTTTTTTCGACATGGGGGAGTGTACTATAAGCGTATAAATAACTGCCAATACTGCTTTGGGGATTCCTTCTCGTGGTTGTAATCATAGTATAATGGGCCCCAAACCCAGTTCTGATTATGAAGGCCCCTGCAGTAGGTTCAGGGCTGCTCGGCTGTTGCAGCCTGCCCACGAGCTACCAATCCTTTTCAAGGTCAACTCTCGCTTTCTTGGCTTTGGGAGCTTTCATGCTGACCTCTCATGTGCAGTCGATGTAGAGTATGGCTTATAGTACTAGTATCCCCATAATAAAACCCAATACATACACTCACCAAAATTCAAAAGGAGCCCTATCTACACTCACCAAATGGTAATATAAGCCCTACTTCATGTAGCATTACAGGGTTGATAAAATCAACTAAACAAACACCTTGAGAAGCCTTATTCACCTGATGAAACTTCTAAAACCACTCATGAAACCTACAAACCTGTTGAGACCCTTGAGAGTCCTGTAAGGCCCTTGTAGAAGCATCATCGGCTGAGCTTCCGGCAAGCGACGACATCAAAGCTATTTCACAACGACCCAAGAGTTCTGAACAAGCAGAAGATGTGTCCCCTCATTTTCTCTGTATAACAAATAGTACACAGTTTCCAATCTTTTTCTCTCACCCCGAACCCTGTAGCAAATGCACTCGAACCCTTAAAGCCTAAACCCGGATGCTTAGACGCTTTTAAATCACTAGACCCTAAACCCTACCGCGGTAGATACGGAAAATTATTCCTTGAATGCTGTAGCACCTGGGCTTAGGGGGATGTTTTTGGATGGCTTAAGTATGGTCGGATGGTGACTTGGCACTAAAGACCGGGAATCTCGCGAGGACCATGGCCCAAAGTGTCCATTAGGGTTTAGGCTTTCGGGCTGGGGGGTTTACTGTGTCGCGGGAGGGTCGGAAGCCATCGAAGCCGCCCCCTCAAGGCACTTACTTGCATTGCTGCCTGCCAGAAGGCCGCGGACTTGGCTCCGGTCGTAAACCCGCAAACATCATCGTTTGTCGTTGCCAGTTTTTTCAAGTCAAAATTGTTTAGGGTTTAGGGTTTTTTTCAAGAAGGGGAGAAGGGTTCAGGGCGCGCAGGGGGAGTTGGGTTTGGGAGGGCCCTCGGCCTATCGGAGCCCAGCTGCAAGTTCCCTGGCAGGGCGGTTTCACCCTCCAGTTACAGCCTTTCTCTCCGATCCATAAGTAAAAACTCGAGGTCATGGAATCATATAGAACCCTAGGATGCCCAGTAGTACCCTTATTCCCTTTTTGTAGTCCTAGGTTCCTTATAAAGTTACCCAATACCAAAAAGAGAGGCCTTTTTTTTCTTAGGTTACTGGGTATCCTAGAATCATATAGAACCCTTACCCAGAGAGGGTTCGGAACCCTAAAGCCTTAAACCCCGTAAGCCCTAACCTCCCGTACCATCGTAGTCTCTGAGCAGCCAGAAAGCCTCTGAAAAAGCTGCTCGAAAGCAACATTAAAGAACCATTAAACCCCAAGACCCTAGTAAATGCGATTAAACCAACTAAGCCCTATTAAGCTCCACTGAACCATAAACTTTACTAAACCCTACTGAGCCCTCTGGCGCCCACAACCCTAAACCCTACTTGGAGGGGCAGGGGACGTAGTAAGTAGGTTATAAGTAGGGTTACAATTGGGGTAACTCCATTTAGGGTACTTATAACTCTACTTATAACCTACTTACTAAGTCCCCTTCCATTCCAAGTAAACCCCGGCCCTGGTACAGGCGCGTGCACTGCTATGCGACATAGCGGTGCAGCTCTGGACACTTTTAGCGGGCTGGGTGCGGGCCTCAACGGAGGTAGAGACTCCAATATCCCTGAATTAAGGAATATTCCTTAAATCATATTAGGGATCCTAGTATAATTTAAGGTATATTCCTTAATTAAGGGGTTTTGGAGGCTCTGGGTAGGTGGTCAGGATCAAGTTTTGGGACTCAGGGATCGGGGTTTAGGGGTTTGGGGTTTAGGGGGTTTAGGGGGTTTCGG